AAACCTAGTGCATTTCGATGCAAGAGTTGATAAAAGTGGATATTTGGCTCGCGGTCGTAAATATTAGGCAGGGTTATGAGTTTTGATGTGAATTGGTGTAAGAATGCACGAAACTTCTAGTTTTGCACTAACTAAAGAAAGATAAACAACAAACAAGATGCGTACACTCATCTAAGAATTTCTATTGTTATTCTGGAGCAAACCAAGTGGGGTTTAACGGTGCAAGTGTTGGTCTCATACTTCATTTTTCGCTGGGCAATAAATTTCATGCTGTGGTGAAAACGCTGACTTTTTGTTGCTGTACAGACAGCACTTTCGATACAAGATTTTACGAGCCCTCCATGGTACAGAAGGTTTCATTGAACTCGATTGAAAACATCAGAAGATCCTGACGGTTACGAAAAGAACAAGAAAACATCACGTTTCTGTGTATATGTTAAGGTTTTGATAAAAATATTTCTTATTCTCATATAATGGACTTATCATGAGAGATATCAGTTTGCAAGCATCCTCAGGATGATAATTCTTGAAAGTCTTGCAAACTGGTATTTAGTATTAAATAATCTACATATGAGGTCATTGGTTTGCATATTAAAACTTGCTGAAACTCATGGGATCAGCATGGATTTCCACCTCCCATTGCACAGATGGGTTCCACCATTAGGGACGAAAGCGCGCAATGTTCGAAGTTTGCGTTGTAACCAGCCAACGTCGTTAGTCCATTTGCATGGTTTATTATTCAGTAATATAGCCACCTATTCCCCAGAAAGTGCTTCAGTTTTCAGCTTTATTAACCACAAAGGACTCATTTATATGATCTGGAGTATTGGTACAGTATCCACAGTTCTACGACCAAAGTGAGTGTCTAAATCAATGTATTTCCAGTCCACCATGTTACATCCAAAGGTAATATAGATCAATCCCACTGAGAATAGTGCATAGAAATAGGCGTTGGAACGGTAAATCGCCCAAACTGCTGTAGTTATACATAGAATTTAGGCATTTTTCGTGTTAATATAAGCAGTATTATCCAAGAAGTGTATTTGATGCATAGCGACTTTCATTTGAAAAGATCACTCGAAATGGAGTACTAGAAAAGATGTAATATAGAGTTAATGCAGGTAAGTTGTGTTCTCAGCCACTAGGTAAATTGCTGTCTGGTTTTATCATTTGTTCAGAATGTCTGCACCACTATAACCGTTGGAAAAGTTTGAACGGTTCATCGCTCGAAGCATCCTGACAAGTATGTGAGTTAATCGTGAGGATGTTCCAGAAACCGCAAAGGATCAGCGTCAGTCCAATACTACCTGGCGTCACAGAGCAGCTATTATCTGCGCCAAGTAGTTGCGTTAAGGCTGAAGTTCAGCATCAGATGTCCTCATCGAACTGTTGCTACAAAGAGGAAAAAGAAAGAAGAAACAAGGGCGGATGTGGAAATGGAAATAACCAAGCGACTCAACCAGGAGAACTGAAAGTCCCTACTATTTTAAACCTGTTCGAACTTTATGTCTATTTTCACGTACGCATGTGAAATCAATTACATTGCCTTGACATTATAAGTTTCGTATAACCTTCTATATCCGGGGTATACCAAGGTGGATTTGGCGCGAAAACAGCTTACATCAGGTGTATTGTGCTGGGGGGAATCGGTATTCACACCCTCGTAAGCAATCTTAAACCCACCAGTGTAAGAGGAACTGAAGGATTTTAGTAACTCGGCGTCATATGTGTAGAGGTTCAAGTAAGTTCTCACTAGCCCAGAACTCAGAGATGGTGGCTAAAAGGATGACAGACCCATCGTTTATCAGCAGCTTATTAATTGAAGAGGGGAGAAGTGTCAACGAACGTGTCGCACGGGTTTCTTTCGGAAGCCTACTCCAGATGTGAGTGAATTTGCTAAAGAAGAAATTATCTCATGAGCTCGTCGTACAATACTCAGTTTAAAATAATGCTTTATGGTTGCGCATACCACACATTGACGTTATGGTTAGCTTGATTTACAAACCATGAGGGGGCAAGTGCCGATGAAGTAGCTTGCAATGAAATATGAGGTTCAGTTTAATTTGCCTCTTCCAGAGTGGTTATAACCCGAGGATGTTGCAACTGGATGTGTAGTCTGGACTGCAGTTAGCTCCTGATGCTCCGAAAGGTGAAGTAACGTTGTTTGCGGAATTTGCAAGATGAACATGACATCTTCTGGGCATGCATTCTCCCGTAACATATGCTATTAGTATGTACGCGCCAGCTACGAAAGAAGTTCCTCTCAACAGTCTTATGGATTCAAAAAGAAGTACCTACCCGAATAGTACCGGTTCATATAAGCACGTTGCTGATGCACATGTCTTTAGGGCTTGTTGCCCATGGATACTGAAACCGAATCTACAACAGAGAGAGACAGTGATGATCAGGCTTAAGGGAATGAACATCTTCGTTGCATCATCATGTAGGAGTAAGTGCCGAGAAGCTGTTCAGGTTCCGCGCAGACAGGTTCCCCGATCACGGTGGGCTGAGACTAGTAACCATAAAAGCTGAGCAGCAGTACTCGCAAAGCCAATCTCTAGATTCTTCGAGTATTCGTTATAGTCACGGAGACCCCCTAATGAAAGAAAGCGGGACATGTTATCACCCGCTTTAAAGAGGCGATAGGGAGAAAACCACGCCAGACACCTGCCCACCGCGTTAATCTTCAAACTGTTCAAAGTTTCGGGAAGCTTGCTAGAAGACAAGGCCTATGAATTCCTTAGCAAGAAAAGCATCGTTCATACTGCTCAACGTGGCCTTCCGTCGTTGATACTCCAGATCGAACGGATGGGTTTCTTGTGGTTAACAAAGCTAAATATTGAAGATCATTCTAAGGAATAGACTATTATATTACTAAATAGCAAAGTCCGGGAACGGACTAACGACGTCGGTTGGCTGCAACGCAAACTTCGAACACTGCGCCCTTTCGTTCCCAATGGTGGAACCTATCTGTGTGATGGAGATGAAAATCTAAGCCCGTCTCGTGAGTTTCAGCAAACTTTAATAAGATTATGCACACTGGTGACTTGATGGGTGAGTTATTTAATACTAAATACCAGTTCGTAAACCTTCAAAAATTATGACTTTGACGGCGCTTGTAAACTGGTATCCCTCATTTTTGGGATTGCGACACAAAGCTGACGTACGTAAAGACTTTGTCGAACCACGTGTTTGCGAAACTTACTCCACTCAGAATAGGAAAGTTTCCGGGTTGTAAAGATATAATACCAGTAGTCCCACGGAACTACACAAAAGCACTGAGTATACCAGTACAAAGTCTCTTCAAACGTTCACTGGAGATAAGCCGACTCCCCAAAAATGGAAACGCGCCACTCTTTCACCACTTTTCAAGAGAGGAGGCTGAAAAATTGCAATCACAAACTGACAACGTTACTCCCCATACAATACCAGCAACTGGAAAGCTCGGCCGGAGATGTTGTTCGAGATGACCGAAACAGGAAAAACATCTTTCATCCCACCCAACGGGGCTTCATAGACTTGACGTCCGCTTGGGATGACTGAACAACTAGGGGGGGACAACAAGAAACCAGTTCAGGTTACCTTCCTGAAAACGGCCGGAAAATTCAGTAGCGTCCCGTGTATCGCCGTGCTTGGGAAATATTCAGACGTAGGGATCCACTATCCATTCAAAGCACAGTTTGCAGGATATGCAGATGTCAGAGGACCCTGTACCAAATTAAGAGGGATTATCTCTGCCTGGAAGAGTGCAAATATATAAGTTTCTGAGTGAGCAATCCCTGGGCTGCTCCTATTTTTACTACCCACCAGTGACCCCCCCCGTATCTCCTTGTCTACTCTCCTATTTTCCGACGGCTTCAAATGTGGAGGACGATTGGCAGGGAGGGGGTTGCTACGATACTCCAAGATGATCTGTTGCTGCTGGAGTACTGGCCAGCTGCGAACGCCTAATCTTCAACCTGAAGAAATGCGACATGATGCATCTTCACAGACCAGAAGCGGTGAAAGACAGCTATGCCCTCAACGGACGCGCAGCCACCAGGCTGTCTATAGAAAAGTGCCTGTACTAAACTTCTCTGACACACTGGATACTTGTGCCAACCGAAAGAAACTGGCAGCAAAAGTGAACGCCATCATGAACTTGCTGAGAAAGCAGCTTGGAGCGTTAACCCCAGAATTATTCTTCATGGAGTTTAAAACATGTGTTAGACCACACCGAGTTATTCGATACGATAAACCCCTCTACAAAGGAGAGACTCGAAGTCTCTCGGGGGGGGGGGTGCAGAGAAGGACTACGGGGTCAGTTTCCAGACTGGTAGAAGGAACTTTTGTGTGACGCCTTGAGCAGCTCAACGCGTTAGGCTTTCTAAATAAAAGAGGTTATGTGATAACACCCTACAAGATCATTCGCCAAATGTGCCACACAAATATGTCAACATTACCAGCCCAGAATCTAGAGTCTCTCGGCAACCCCACTCACGTACCCCATCACTGGGAAAAGACGGAGGTGAGACGAAACTTCTCACACAGTGTGTCTCATGGAACGCTCTACCGAAAGAAGTAGTCGCGGCCACTTCATTCGACTCCAAACGACTGCTAGATAAGTATGTGAGCTAAAATGACTCAACACAAACATTCGTCGGTAGCAACTGAAGGTACGCTCATCTATCACTGTAGTTTTTAAGCTCACTACATTCAACAAAACCGATCTGTTCTGCATATTAACTGTAGCAACACTTGTTTCTCATAAGTGCTTTTCATTCGCCACTCCCCTTATTTCAAGCACCTTTTAAGTAACGCTTAATGGTTAATTGCAAATGCTTTCAGAAACAGGAATCACAAACGCTTAACTGACATCACCAGCAACTCTGTTGTCCATCCACACACAAGCCAAGTCAAAATTTGCAAGATAAAATACCTTCAAGTGGACAGTCACTAACACAAAAGCTATAAGCAAGAAAAACGTAGACTTCCATGACCATTGAAAGAATATAACAAAACAAAAAGAACCGAACCTCAGGACCTTGAGGCGACAGCTCAAAAACAAACAACCATTGCTTTTACTCACACCGTTGATGTCGGACTTTGGGGTTTGAAGACCTAGAGTTTTGAGGACAGCGTATTTTAATGTGTGCGCTACGCGGCATCAGTGTAAGGCATTTGAAACTTTACTAATCCACTTTACACTTTCGATTTAAAGACCGGCTCATCTCTTCGTTCCCAAGCACATCCATTTGTAAATTATCTTTTATTGTTAAGTGTCAGTACATCATGTGCACTTGCTGAGTCGTCGGCTCACGTTTTCTCTTCTTTTAGTTTTCGGATTCCGTTGGTCACCTCTTAGCTCATACTCCTTTATGCCCCTTGCCCTTGTGACAAGGCACCTTCTTACGGGGTAGGAAACCTATTAACAGCTGGTCGTTTCATAGGGAACCTTATTTACTGTCACTTTAGTGACTGCTTGATAGGGATTTTGAAGGAAGAGAAAATAACACATCAGTGGTGTCATATTTTGTGGTTTGTATTGTCTCATCATTACTAACTCTCTGGAGACACGTTTTCGGCGTCTGTTTGAGAAACGGGATCGCGTACGTGGTTACGTTCCAGGATGACAATCTATTGTGTGATATATGACATATAAAGAAAACTCTCAGGGATATTTCCAACCACTCGGCGTCGGAACTACAGCTGTGTGTAATAAACACCGACTGTCGATCATCACTTCTCATGATCATATCTTGTGGCCTCTGAAAATGGCACAGAAAGCATGTAATTGAGGGACAGAGGTGGACAAGTATATCTGCAACATCGGGCTTAGGGATCGAACTTGTAGTGATAGTTCTCATAGTCAACATGAATACCAGTCATGCGGGTTACAGGAAATACTACTTTTTTGAAAACTGATTCACTTGAGTTTTGACAATCTGTTATGTTGTGCCACTTGCTAACAAGAAAGTCTCTTTTAGTTGCTTTTAGCTCGAGAAGCGATTGCCAGGTATGGGGTTCTTGCTTGTCTGTATTTATGGTACGTGAGGTGGTACCTGGTGTCTTTGAATAGTAGCCTCGAAAAATCGGTGTGTGGGTCAACTGGAGCACTGATGAGACTGCTAAATATGAAAATTGCGTATGCGATCCTGACTCTGCAAAGTGTCGACTACTGACCACTATGGTTATACTATGATCAATACAGCATGCCTCACGTCTATATCAGGCCTCACTGCTACTACTTTACTTATCACCAGTGCTCAATATATCCAGCTAGTGATTTGAACAAACCCTCAGAATTCTCTTCACCCACCACCTTCTGCTCTAACGTACCTCCGTATAAGGGAACCGGCCACCCAGTTCCGCAACCAAACTCTAGATATTTATCTTCGAACACCACTGCACTTCTGAATAGGGAAGAATGATGAAACAAAGGAGACCTTTGTGAGTACGATACAAGTCTCCCCTTCCTTTCATATTATATAAAAATGCTGTGAATCTATTATTAATGGTTAATATTATTGATGGCAGATAAAGATGATTGTGTTGTAATTATTTTCACCCTCATCTTACGATTCACGAATTTGATTTTCTTGCGCAGTTCAAGTTCTAACTTTTTGGGGCATAGGTCCATCTTAGTCTCCTTGTTTGTAGCAGACTTCTAGAGCTCTTAAGGAGCCGGGAGCACCTGTCAAACTGCTAAAATTGTAATTTCTAGTAATCTTACTTCAAAAGATAGCGGCTTTCAGCACTGATACTTTCAACGATCTTAGTTGGTATAGTTTTACAAAAGCGTTTTTAAAGACGCTACATATATATGTGTACACCGCGTACTAGTCCAAAACTGGACTAAGGTAATGCAACACCATTGATCATATATCTCTTATGTTTCTTCATTTGCTTCCTATGTCCATTTTCAGGCATCATGCAAATTTATCTACTTGAACTCTTGTATTAAGGCAAAGTTGAATGGTGTGCATATTAAAGTCATAACATTCTTGAGGAAAGTTACCAAATCCAAGTTAAGGAGTATGGGCAACCTGTAATTCCTTCTAGATTGGAAGGCCAGCTTGTAGACCAGAAGAAACGTCGATCCTAGTTAATATAGGAGTAAAACTTGGGTTCTGTGGTAGACTAATCCCATTCTAGTCTATTAAGGGTTGCATGTACTGCGTAGCAGTCCGTTCTGTTCTACTGTATGGCTGCGAAATATGGCCATTGAAGGTCGAAGACGCGCGAAGGCTTCAAGTATTTGACCATCTTTGCCTTCGTAGTATAAGCCTCATTCCGTGGTGTCACCACGTGAGTAATGCAGAGGTCAGGAGTAGAGGTAAAACAGTTGACGAGGTTATGAACCTTCATCGACTGAGATGGCTGGTTGGGACACGTATAATGTATACCTGGTCACCGATTGTCTCGTCACTCAATGCTGGCCGAAGTAGGTCCAGATTGGAAAAAGGCCTCAGGTGGCCAGAGCAAAACATGGCATCAATACACGAAGTGTTTTGACTGTTGGTTTGAGCCATGTAAGGTGATTCAGACTAGCCGATTGGGGTAGGGTCCGTGGGACAAAAGGAACCAGTGGCTGAAAACCTATGTCAGTGGTGCAGATGTATCCCCACACACATTATCCACATCTTAACAAAGCTACATCGAATCTCACCATTTTCTCATTCTTCCTTTCTCTCTTTTAGTACTTTATATTTCTTTTGACTGAGTTTCCTTATCTTCATCTTCCACTTCACTACCTTTTTACTTGATGTACTGATATTAGCTGTGACAACTCGTACCGTTATGCAGTAATGCCTGTTCCTATGTTGATATTGATGATGATGAGTGTTTCACTGTGGTACATTCAATAAATAAACTAAAATTGAATTCTGCTTAGTCTCCCTATATATATATATATATATATATATATATATATATATATATATATATATATATATATATCACTCGGACCTGTTGACCTACACTACCTTGGAGATAAGTTATTAACACTTTCTATCAGTTTATACTTAAGGTTATAAATAAAGCCAAATGACGTCAAGATTTATATCTCCATTAAACTGTAAAACGATCACTTTCATCGTGAATAAAAAAATCATTTTTTTCGTTGGTTTCAATTTCCCCACTGTAGGTACAGACACTCTAATACGGTTTAAACTATTTCTCACCTATCATCCTCTTTGGGACAATCTGTCGTTCGGCCAGAAATCTGAGCCATACTGCATCTTCGTGTTTAATATATGATTTTCGGGATCGAATTAGAGATAACATTATTTGCTAGTTTTACGAAGTCTTCAAAGTATTCTAATTCATGCTTGCTCTCTGGGGTTCTAGAGTTATCTGCATATCCCAGTTTTTAGGTTTGAAACGCAAATGATTGTAAGCAAAATAGCATTTAGATTTAATGAATAATCGCTTCGGTTAACGCTAACTTTCGGTGTCAATCGAAGCTGTGAACCTGAAAAACTTGTTAAGGAATTTGTTTCCTGGTAATCTCAGATTTTTGACCAGGCTTTATTTTGCAAGCTGAGGGTTAGGAACAGTCTTATTAGGTAAATCAACCGATGAGTTAGTAGACATGCTGTAGCTTACTGGCCTAGGGTACTTGGTTTTAAAGACTTCGTACTATCGGTGTATCGGGGTTTGGATAACCATGTAGTTACGCTGTTTATCACACAAGAAACGTGACTCAGCTTAGTATGTAGAGTTACTCTTGGCTGCTCAGTGATCTGTATAATTTGAACTGGTTGAGTCATGTTTCATGCATTAGGAATATAACTCCACCCTTAATGTGCGGTGTTGATTGCAGTACTGAAGTTATTAAAGTTCAGTGTAACATAAATCCATCAAATCACTGTTGGTCTGAGCCACGTAGAATTCGAGAATAAGACTTGTAACACGAAAGTGATGTTCATGTCTTTTGTTTTTAAAAAAAATTCTCATTGTCTTGTTATATGCTCCCTATCTACCCACACATTTCTTATGTTCGTATGTTTGAATGACACCTTATTGTTTGAATTAAAGTGACACTTAGAGATAAACCCTGTCGGCTTATTTATCCTATTCACTCAGACAAAATTTCATCTATCAAATCCCCATGGTTGTGGTGTCAGATATATACGTCTAACCGCCCAGTCGGACTATCGTACCATGGGAACTTAGTAAAATGTAGAATAATAGGTCCTATTAAGATCAGTAATCTTGGATAAAGCTCAGCTGTTGTAGTGCATGCGCTAACACAACTATACACTTGTGCGAGAGGAAACAGCTATACTTAAGGTCAATATAGTTAGGCGGAGAGAGAGAGAGAGAGAGTAATCATTGAGACTTTATATACTCAATGAACACTCAATACATGGAATAGGAAATGTGGAAAACCGTGCTACCACTGTAAACAAAGAATATGAGTTGATAGAACTATATAAACCAAATATCAGGAGTTTTTTGATTGTTTAGATATGATTATGAGAGATAATTAGTGCTGGAAACGTCATCCAGTAAATAATATCGCATCGCGCTTTATCAACTGAACATATGTAATTCAGAAATATATTTTTCCTCATAAACATCCAGACTATAGTTGTTACAAATTTCCTGGAAGAAAAGCTCCAAGTTTGAGTAAATCATTAAAGGAGCATATTTTAACATAATCGCAGCGTGTTTAGGAAATTGATACAAATTCGTATATTCTACTGAAGAAGTTATAGCATACACAGTGAAACACTCAGAAATGTCTTGTTTTTTTTGGTCTTATAAACACGGGATTATATTGAAATGTAATCATAATACATTCTGCCTGTTTTGAACTGAGTTTCTATCATATTATACTGTGATTGTTGATTATCACCGAGTAAGTCACCTGTCCCAGACACCACGATAAGTAGTTCAAATGGAAGGTAAGGAAAACCAGAAAAAATTGTTGGCGTTTCACAAGTATAATTGGTAGACAGAATATTTGAAACAATTAGTCCCTTTTATAAATTTCGATAACGCTATTCGAAGACGAAGATTATCTGAAAAATGTGATGTATTTGCGCAATACATTTCCAACAATCTGATCACACATTTACTTGTCAAGTCAATTTATATATGAAAATTAAAGGTGAAATATAGTGAATATGAAAAGGTTGTGACACTAGTCTTGGTAACATAATCAGATAAGGATTACCAAGGTAAATTAAGTGGAACAACAAATTGGTTTTTGTACACACAGCGGGGGTTAAGTTTTTACAAATGGCTAACGCTTCGGCAAACTTCAGTATGCGCTCCTGATTATTCCTGTATAATATCTTGAAGGCTGTTTTCGTATTAACCTTGTGGTTCATTTCAATGAAGATGTTTTGCTATAGATGACGATGGATGTCTGTTACCTGCACTTATCAAAGTTTGCGTGTTAAACTGTTTTTCTAGCCATTTGGGGATGTGTTCACCCACCCTAGTCTGCATTGAACGATTACTCCTCCCTATGTATATGTGCCCACACATACATGTAAATTGGTAAACACAGTAGGATGTGATGTGATCATTTGTGCGAGGTTGAGGTTTTTGGTGAAACAGGTGTTTTGTCGTCTCAACAATGAAAAGCTGAGCTGCATAGTATGTTTTACTGATAACAGATTTTAATCTCTGCTTCAATATCATACTACTTGTTTCCCCTCTGTATGGTACTTTAAGAATATTAGCAATTTCGTCAATAAATATGCACACTAATTATTATTTAGATGAGATTGTACAGCTTCTGAGGGTCATATCATCTAAAGAGGATCTGCCCCCTGAATCTATTTCTTCTCTCTTCACTCTGAGAATATTTAGAGCATAAAGATGATTTCAAATAATCTGACTGTTAGTAAAAAAGATCAGTAATCATAGTAATGCAGTCGAGTAAATCTAATTACATGCAAAACGCAATCAAGCAAAATAATACAACAATGGAGTACCACTCATCTACGGGAATTTGAGTGCTGACAGAGTTGTAATGGTGACTGACACTACCCAGCTGCACATACTGTGGAAGGCTAGCTCTTCTTAAGGTACCTGAGAAAGAAGGGTTAATGCGTGACCGAATAGCCGAAGTGGCATCTGTTCGACGCTGATCATACATAGCCGTTTTGCAAGTTTCAGATTTTGCTTTTGAATCCGACTACAAACCCATATCATCGGCATCAGGATGCTGAGGGTTAGTGAGTTATTTTGAGGACCGGCCTTTTCTAACCCCTTTCTTCCTTCTCATAGGGAAGACACTATCAATATAGTATTGCTAGTCATCCCGTGAAGCCAGCAGTAAGACTTCACCCTCAAACCACCATCATAGCGTAGCAACTTACAATATACTAGTAGCCGCCTTTTGTCTAACCACTATCCAACAGAGAACAAGCGTTCCAGCCAGTATAGCTCGTTGCGTCATTCTAATATGCAAGCCTGACCATCATGTAAAGGTAGCAGCTATCAATCGGGATGAAGTAATACTATTTATCATGCAGCTAGTATTCTTGGAAGTAATCGTACTTCCCAAGACTATCACATCATCTAAGTCTTACTCCTAAGTCAGCTACTAATTATGTATACGATGCTTTTGAGAAGGGTTAGCCTAGAGTATTTTTCTACTCACTCATTTACTAAATTATTATTTATAGATTATCAGACGATCATTTATCAGTGCTACACATGTTTGATTATACTGTTCGTTTCTTTTGCTTAGATAACTACACCCTGACTACTGTACATCTTCAGTTGGTATATCTACTCTGAGAGACACAGTTATGTTTAAAAAGGTCACAAGGTGAGAATAACCTAATAATAATAATAATAATATAATATAATAATAATAATAACAAAATAATAGCTTGTTTGTGCAAAGTTTCTATTTCAAGCTAGGAATTTTCAACCATCCACCAGGAATTCACACAACACCAATTGCTATGTGAGTTATCTTGTTTGAAAGATAATGTGTTTTTAGGTCAGAACCTTTAAAGAAAAAGAAGAGAGTCGATCCAATAATTGAACAGCAACGAACAGGCCGGAAAGTTAGAAAAATTGAAAAGGAAATCAAACGTCTTAGTCGCTTCGACCGAAAACTGAAACCGATTGAAGATATTGAGGGTGATCGTCAACTAATAAAAGAATCAAAGTATGTTGTTTGATAACTACACTTAGACACATTGCTTTATTTTGAAAGTAACGTTAGTTTCTATTCTGAGCCTTGTTCGATGGGGTTTCGGGTCATTCAGTTATACGATACGCCTGAACTTATGGAGAAGGTTATGAGGCGGCAACAGATATTAACTCCAATCTACTACTGTTCATATTGCGGCGAAATTTCATGAAATAATCATGTCTCTGCTTGTTTCAACTACTCTCAGTCAGGATTTGCTAAGAATGAACGCTACGGTGGCCACTGGGACAAGATTTATTATACATCTCCAAGTCGTGGAAATTAGTCTTTTAAGTTCCTTTCATCCAGTCAGTGGTGCAAAGCACATATCACACGGACTCTGATGACTGGTTGATTAACTGTAATTTGAGTAATCTAGATGTATAGAAAAATGATGTCGTCCGCGTATTTCTAATCGAAAAGTATGCCATCTGGTAGGAGATATACACCACCACCTCAGATTTGTCTCTAAATTGCCGTTGATGGTGAAGTTAAAAAAGCAAAGTGAAATCACATAGCCCTGTCTAATCCCATTGCTGGTTTGGAGCGATAAAGAAAGATGGTTGAATGATCTTACTATACTTGAGGTATTGAACTATAAGGTTTTTAAGACGTTAGCCAACTTTTCAGAGACCTCTAACAGAATTCTAGATGACAGCGCTGTTCAAGGAGTCGGAGACAGCCCTTGTCTCGAGAAATACAAGGATCGCTCACCTAAAATATGTATGATATTCAAACATGTGATGGAGGCTGAACACATCGTTATTGTATTGTTGACCCGTACTAGTGTCAGCATGCTGTTTGCAAATCAGCCTTACGTGTGGCCAGTAAATCATGACAGCGGCCTACATTTTGGATGAAATTGGTGACAGATTGGTACCTCGATGATCGTTACAGATATTACGTAGACCCTTTTTAAAGATGAAAACGGTGGGTCGGGTATCTTACTGAGATTTGATATTTACGGACCTCTACTTTGTCTCGCTGTTCACTGTTAACTGGAAATGGAAAACAAGACATCGAAGTCAATGTTACTAGGGCATTAGGTCAGCCTTATTGCTTTTTGAAGTACTTTAAAGATGTTTATGGAGGTTACTGACCGGTGTACCGTGTAATTAACACTAGACTTCTTGTTACCAGTGATTGGGATGAGCTGAAATATTCACCTTTTGACACATAGGAATTAGTTTGACTAATATTCTGTTCAAGATCCTAGGGTCTATAGTTATCTAACACTTAACTGGAGCTCAATAACATAAAACTCGTGAAAACCAGGCAGTTTTCAGACCTAAACGAGAATGTATCGATCATATTTTTACCCTCCGGTAGGTTCTGGAACACAGGCATACCTACCGGTGACCGACACTTGCCATATTTCTTGACCCGTGAGGTTGTGGGAGTATTTGACTGTGAAGGGAGGACCCAGAAAGTATATAATGGTTATCAAAGCTCTCTACTGGAAGTCACATAGCCGTGCGAGGGTTTATGGAGTTGTTATGTAAATTAACGAGTGGTGTTCGCCAGGGTTGCCCGTTCTCACCATTCCTACTTAACTTCGACATAGACGTACTAATGGACTTGACCTTGGGTGCATCTGTCTTCACAGGGACCGACCTGCTCCCCCGAAGTCATCTGGTTGACTTGGAGTGTGCGGACTATGTTTTCTTAGTAAGTGAGAACGATAACGAAATGTAGGGTCTTCTGAACGTGTTGAGCAGAAATCTGAGTATGACGCATACACTACGCACCTGTCGAGTGTAAGACGATTCTCTAGAACTCGTCTGCAACTACACCCACTTTAATGATACAGAGTGAAGTAGTGGGATATGTCGACTGCTTCACTTAGTATGTTGCATCAGCCGTAACAGACTGGTTGCTGCTATACATTCTGTCCTGTGATGCGCCTTTGAGACATGACCGTGAATAGTAGAAGACGTGAAGTGGTCACACGATTTTGATCACAGATATCTTCGTAGCATTGCTCGCGTTTGGTGGATTCACTGTGTGAACAATGTGGAGGTCAGACGAAGGGTACTAGACAAGTCGATTGATGAGGTTATCGACTGAGATTGTTTGAACAGGTACTGCGCATGCAGACCCACCGTGTACCTCGACTAGGGGACGTTGGATTAGGTTGGAAGAGATTTCAGAGTGACAAGACGAAAACGTGACACTAGTCAATGAAGTCTCTTACTGTTGATCTGAACAATGTAGGGAGGTGTGAGCTACCTGGTTGGTGTCTCCGATACGAAAGGAATCAATGGTTGAGAACCCTTGGTGATATAAATGCAAACTGATCACAACAGTATAGATATATTCACTCGTTGACATCTTCTAAAACTTGAACATTAGCACGAAGCTTTATCTTCAGATTGTTTAGTATCTTACACAACTTTATCTACTTTGATACAACTTTTTTCCGTGCCCTTGTTATTTATGTACTACTGTGAAGTGTGGCAACTTGAGCCGATATACTTTGTGGGAGACTTCATCGACTTGTGTCACGTCTTCGTCTAGTCACTCTGAAATCTCTTCCATCCTAATCCAACTTCCCCTAGTCGAGGTAGACGGCGAATCTGCATGCGCAGTACCTATCCAAACAATCTCAGTCGATAACCTCATCAATCGACTTGTCTAGTACCCTTCGTCTGACCTCCACATTGTTCACACAGTGAATCCACCAAACGCGAGCAATGCTACGAAGATATCTGTGATCAAAATCGTGTAATCGCTTCACGTCTACTTTTAACGGCCACCCAGCCAGCTTTACTACTTCATTGTTGGACGTAGTGTAAGCTATTTATACCGTGATAGTAACTGCATTTGGTCTCATCATAGTCTAGATGACCTTTCCGACTTGGTAGGACCTTAAATTACACTTGTACCAGCCGGCGTACTTCTTTGAGTAGTTGCGATATAGAAGCCCAACCATGGGAAGGTAGCAGGGGTCAGGTTGTTAGGGTTCATAATTCCATGACGTCTGTAATTATTATTTTCAGCCTTCGTACGAAAATGTAGACTTCCTAATTATAGTCCGTGTGGCAAACAAAATGGTTGGTTGGGGACTTTAAGGAATATGGCTCAGGACTCATCCATAGAGCAGATGCATCCACAGATCGTCGTATCCCAATTCCATTTTGCTTCATCACTTCTTCCTCGTGATTTATGACTTCCTACTGCTTTGAATGCCTTCCTTAATTCCATATATGTAATTCGAGTTTCTTCTGCCTTGATGTGCTAAGGTTAGGTTTGACGATTTGAACCGTTACGTGGTAGTGCCAAGGCTCATATCGATGACTTGCTGAGTTTTCAGTATGACAATATGCCGTCACATCTCATTCTGTTTGACAAGGTACTCATAATCGCTACAGGTGATCAGACTAGAAATTATCGAATACAGTTGTGCTAAGATAGACGGATGGGGATATCATGTGGGAAATTTCGAAAAGTAGGACGCGGATTACATGGTGTATGAGCACTTCCAGGCTGATAAATCACCAGACACAATATGGGATGATGTACAGTCAAGCACTAATCTACGATTTTACACTTCGCATAGATACATCTGACGGGAACGAGAATAAAAAAGGGAACAAGGATATATGACCATCAAGATGGAATAGATGTCTCTATAGCCAACTTTTGCCATGCCATCTAGTTTTCAGTAATGGAGTTGTGTCTTGCAACCCCTAAACTAGAAAATCTACACTTCTTCAACGAGTTGTGTTCTAGTGCTTTAGTCACTAGGCTTTTATACCAATGAATGCAAGCTCTTAATAATCACCCCACATATTGAGGTCTGGACACCTGAGTAATGTAGCCTGTCAAACTTAAGAGGTTTAAGTCACACCTTAGTTTATTCATTTGTAGCCTTGATTCTAGAAAAAAAGGTGATACCTAGTCTTCAGTTGCTTTTGCAAACTAATGCCGATTATTGATCCATTCAAAACTAAATTTACGAGCTTAGGAAATTACACTTAAAGTTATGACTTGCTACCAAGGTGAAGACTTTGTTGCTAAGCCGTAAAATTATCAGTCCATAAGCCACTAATGCGAATTTATAACAGAGAATCGGAAAATACACACTTTATTGGTTCAACACTATGTTGGGCAACTCAACATCACTTAATCAGTCGATCAGGTTAGCCAAGGCTTGATTTCCCAATTCTGTTGATATCTCTGTTACACAAATATATTCCTTGTTAAAAAAAAAAATATCTGCGATACTCACAATATTGCTATATACCATTGAATTGGATAATTGTAGTGAAATTTAACTCAGGCAGAGTGCCAGTTTTTCCACAGAGCGACTACAAGCATCGTGTTGTAGAGATACTGAACAATGATTCTTTGGGTCCTACGTCTGTCTTAAAGATTGGCGCTCATCAGTAGATCAAGTGGTACTAACTCAAATATGTTCACCAAAAGAGTACTGGATATGAACAGAGGATGTTTTCCTAATATTCTTATACATGTAAATTGTCACAGATAAAAATCAAAAGGACCGGAATCATATCTTATACTCGAAATCCGTTAGGCAGCAAATATAATGGGGAGTGGCTTTGAGGGTCACCCTAGTGACGGTTGAAACAGCTAATTAGATTTCTTAAATTTGGCTGGAATAGTAAAATTTCATGAAATCAAAAGGTCTTACTGGTCGCAAGTTTGATCCCTCATGGGCCCATAAGAACACACTGCTGAGGAACCCCAAGCTAGGACGAAAGAGCCGACCAGGTCTCTCAAGATTTCAATGGTTCTCTGGCTAATGTAGGCCTGTAATGAAAACTCTTCCAAGCATGATATGAATAACTGAGTTCACTTTTTCAGGCATTATTTAAGTAGGGAGTCAAGTAAGCGTAACGTTATATCATCATGCATCGACAAGATAACGGAAGGATGTCAGGTACTGTATCTCCTTGGCTGATAGTGATCAAAGTAATTTAGTACGCTATTTGCTCATCTTAGAATTTCGAGCCCCAGATGTACCATCAGTTTGGAATTAAAACTCCGAATTCATTGCATAACGACAAATAGAAAGATAAAATCAACGTAGAATCTTCCACACGAGTGTATCGCTTCAAGTTGCCATACTACTTCACAGTAGTATAGGAGGAACAAGTAGACAGAAAATCACTCATATCAAAGTTGTGTGAAAGAAGATAAAGGTTAGAGCAAATATTAAAGCTTTAGATGTTAAGGAGTGAATACACCTGCGCCACTGCGACGATTTTCTGCCTGGTATTCTCCGGGACTGCAGCCAGTCAACATCTCCTCTACACGACTCATCGACTTGGTGTTGCAAACACCATGAACCCTCTCTCAACCTAATCTTACTCCGCCCTTCCCCGTAGCATGGCACGTCGATGTAGGCAATAACTTGACAAGCCACTTCAGACAATGAAGGCGGTGTCATTATTATTATGCTTATGGATGGTGGTAGGATGACAAATAGCAATTAGATAACAAACACTACACGACCTCAGTTTTGCAAAGAAAAAAAAATAGTTTGTAGAAATAATTGGTGTCAATCTCAGGTAATTTTTGAATTGATAATTTCATATTCAAGATAAGTCATCATCAATCATTTATACCGTAACTAAATTACTTGTAATTTTCTCTTTAGATCTCGTCAACGTCCACCTATAGACATTAGTGAAAATGAAATCGATCAACGAATGGGTATATGGAAAAAATGGACACGTTATCAACTTAGAGTATCACATAGAGAAAATGCATTGTATAAATCAGTACTAACAGCTCAACAACAAGCTTTAGATTGGTTGTATAAAACATCGCCTAATTTATACAAAGAAGCCATTAAACCTTGTTCTAAATTAATCGGAGAATCTATTAGCAATTCATATACTGAAGGAGAGGAGAAGAAGAAGAAGAAGACATATTTACAACAATAGTTGGTCCATATACTGGTGCTCCTAAGCTACACGGTGAACTTATAGAGTCCACCTCAGAATATGATCCTCCAGATGGAGAACAAATCGATTCAACACCGAAATTAACTTATGACTTTGAAATACAATCTCAATTCTTAGCTGAACCAAAGCAAAAGAAGTTCACATTATCAAAAAAATAGTATTTCTATAAATTTTCTTTGAAATACCAAAAATGATAGATACCATACAACAATCAGTTCATTTTGATGAGTGATATAATCTAAAAGGAAAACAGGAAATATTGAAGGAGAATATTATTATTTGTTGTACTAGCTAACTTTAGCATCAGCTTGCTGTAACTAATGATGAAAAAAACACAACTCAAATGGTTAGGGTCAAATGAAAGCTCTTTTTATTTATTATTATTATTAATTGTCCCTTCGGTTCCGAATGGAACATAAGGCTTCAGTAGCACGTCTCCACTCCACTCTGTTCTCTGAAATCTTTTCAACTGGCTCCACGACAGCCCAGAAGCTCTCATTTCCTCCTCGCACGATCTCCTCCATGTCACCCTCAGCTGAGACGTCCAACTCGTCGCTTCCCATGGGGATTCCACTCGAGGGCCTGACGCGTGATATCCCCAGTCAGCCTTCTCAGTGTATGCCCAATCCATCTCCACTTCCTTCCAGGGCATATTTGTTGAGCGACAGCTACTTGGTTGGTTCGTTCCCAGAGTTTCCTTGTTGTTTATTCTTTCTGGCCATCTGATCTTCAGGAAGCGAGCGTAGGCAGTTGTTGATGAATGTCTGTAGTTTGTTGGAAATCCCTTTCGTAACGCGCCAAGTCTCTGAGCCATACAGAAGCTCTAGCAACAAATAATTATCTCCACTTGTTTAAGGCAATAGTTTGCGAAGTATAGTGCGAGTAGGTAGTATAAACTAACATGAGCGAAATAATCGTGACAAAGATAAACCCTGAGACAAAAAAGGAGTTTATAGTTTCCCAATACTAGATTGATAGAAGGTTAGTCAACAAAATTCCGGAAGAACTATATACTTTTTCGTGGTTCAGAAACTTGGCGCGTTACGAAAGGGATTTCCAACAAGCTACAGACATTCGTCAACAACTGCCTACACTGGCTTGTTACTGAAGCTCAGATGGTCAGAAAGAATAAACAACAAGGAACTCTGGCTGGCTGTCAACGAACCAACGAAGCAAGAACCTATCACTCAACAAATATGCACTTGCAGGAAGTGGAGATGGATTGGGCATACACTGAGAAGGCTGACTGGGGACATCACGCGCCAGGCTCTCGCGTGGAACCCAGATGGAAAATGACGAGTTGGGCGTCCCAGCTGAGGGTGACATGGAGGAGATCGTGTGAGGAAGAAATGAGAGCTTATGGGCTGTCGTGGAACCAGGTTCAAAAAATTTCAGAGAACAGAGCGCATTGGAGACGTGCTACTGAAACTTTATGTTCCACTAAGAACTCAAGGGACAAATAATAATATACTTTTTCACGGATGGCTGGCTTATTGGGTGATTATAGGACTTTTATCGTCTCAATATGTTCTATTTAACAACTATGTTCCTTGACCAACTAGGTGGTGATGTAGTAGATCTTAGGTCTTAACATCGTACAAAATTTTGCTTACCATCAATATTAAATAGTGTGATTAGAATATGTACTATTTAAAGTATTGATAATCCCTTATAATCAAAACGTAAACTACTATGCAATTTGCCAGAACTGCCTGTAGACAGATGGTTCTGTGTAATAACCAGCAGGTTAGCAAATAGTAAAGTAGACAAGATTGCGGTGTTAAGAAGTTAAAACGATTAAAAAAAAACTTGAGTACAGTCTATGGTATAGGATACTTCGCTGAGATAAAGGTATCCTGTGGACGATCCTATCCAAACGTTGAATGTTTTAACAATTTTTACGATTGAATTATTCACAAGTAGGAATCAGTTGAGTTTTCTATGCGATACGGAATAAAGATAATTTATAGGAAAGTCATAATGCTGAATTTAACTGTACGATTGTAAAGTCTAACCGATAAAACTGTCAATAACTACCAACTTCATAGTGTTGTTGATAACGGTGATCTCGCGCATAACAGGGCATGTTAAACGGATTAAAAAACAATATGCCTTACGACAACGTATTCCAATAGTAGAACGAATGATGAACTTACTTGTTTCGAAGAACTGAAATGATTTTTTAGTCTATTCAACCATTCAACAACGTGTTCATTAGCATTATATGAAATCCATTGAGAATAATCTTTATATTGTGCAAGTGTATATGCAACAGATAGATCTGCAATCGTGGGATAAGATGTATCAGCCAAAAAGAGTAAACCACTTGTTAAGTAGTTTTCAACAGTCTTTCTATAGACAAAACTTTTTGTCGGATCAATTCCATTACTAGATGGTAATGATCGGATACTCCAAGAAAGCCATTGTTTAACTTTAGATCGTTGTGATGCCTAAAATTAGACAAGATTATTTGGAACAAATGTAAAATTTATACATAAAAAAAAACTTAGATATAAATACAATGCCTCAGAAAGTCGATTGTAGTTTATTTCACTAGGTATGGGGACAATTTAATTAAATGGATGTAGGGAAAAATTCTAAGCGTGAACTTCCTCGTCTCTCGTCATGTCCCTTGCGCTTACTTTGTCCGGATAAGTAGTTTGGATCAGTTACAGAACCGTTAAAAACCTGAGAGCTAAGGTTTCCTCTCCTTTTGGGATCGTCCAGCAGTATGCACTCGCACGTGATCGAGTTCAGGAGCTTTAAGTCGCATGGTGAGTGCATTATCATTCAGCCGTTGCGTTAGACTTAAATGATTTGCTGATTCTTACTTGATTTTCTCACCAGTGGAACTATATACCAATCAGAAGAAACCAGCCAATCACGTTTCCTTTCTTATTTTTGCATCGCACTTTATTCACTAACGATGAAGAAATGAACATGCCAATCTAGCGAGAAGAGATTTGTAGCCCAGGATGAGGATGATGGTTGTTTAGTGTTCTCGGAGTATTGATGTTCATGTATAGAATTTCTCACCGAAGGTAAAGAGTTGTGGCTCATTGGTTTGTCGAGTTGACTTTTTACCAAGTGAGTTGCGGATTTGAACACCTCTTCACCTACAGAGATTTGGGCAATCAGAAGGTATCATTAACAGTCACATAACAGGTATAGCTCACTCGCTGCCGCCTACTGCACGACTGTGCAATAGGTTACTAACTGGATTTCATTTATTTGGTTTTGTTAAACTCAAGATGGTGATCGTTATTCTAAATTTTCATGGATCAAATTTCTTAAACGAACTCATTTCAGAGTTACTTGATAAACAAAGTGTCTGTCAGGGTATACAAGATATGCAGTTTACTAAAACTAACCACTTCGATTCTCCATATTCATCATCAATATCAACATAGGAACAGGCATTACTACACAATCGTCCGAGTTGCCACCACACCTCATACCAGTACATCAAGTAGAAAGGTAGTGAGGTGAAGGATGAAGATAAGTGAATGCAGTCAAAAGATATATAAAATACGAGGAGAAAGAAAGGAAGACTGATAAAATGATGAGATTCGATATAGCGTCGTTAAGATGAGGATAATGTATGTGGGGATACATCTGCACCACTGACATCGGTTCTCAGCCACGTGGTCACACCTACAGTCAGTCTTCAACCACTGGTTCCTCTTGTCCTGCGGACCCCAACCACCTATTCTGCTTCGCCCTGCATGGCTCAAAACAACAGTCAGAGACTTTATACATTGGTGCCATGTTTTAGTCTGTCTGCCTGGGGCGTTTTTCTAGCCTGGGCTATATTAAATGCATACAAGCAGAATATAGGAAATAAACTAAGGTGACTTCATTAAAAGTCTTGGAAAAGTTAGAAAATCTATTAACCTAGAGATGCCAGTAACAATCATAGTGTCTATAACGATCAATGTCACCTGTGCAATGGATTTATGAGGCACACCTCTCTATCTAACAGTTGGAAAGGTTGTTTGTTTGCTTTCTTGTTTAAAGTTGTCTACAGAGAGAGTGTAATTAGGAAAACACCAATGACTCAACGAAGGTAAACGATATAAATGTTAACTTTCTATATTACATTCGGATTGCTTACCGGTATATTGATTCAGACATTAATTTTCTTTTGCTTAAGACCTAACAAATTGAATCATCGATAATACAATAAGAAGACGTAAATTGTCTGAACCGCGTAATGGTGTATCTACGCAACACATTTCGCACTATCTGATCAAACACACCCACACGTAGCTCAGGTGGATGGTCTTGGTTTTATTGTGTTCTCTGAGGAGGTGGGTTGTTGAATCCTGGAGCTTTCATCGTCTTGCTAGACGACATCATCAACACTAACTTCAGTATGAAGTGAACTGTTAATATTTCTCCGTTAGTGATTTAGTAGCTTGCTCTGACGATGTGGTCTGTGATTGGTTGTTTCCTTCGATTGTTGTTTCATTGATTGTATAGACTTTCCTGTTGGCTGTTCCTCGGCTTCACCTCTCACCTTTCTGTCGTTTATCATTTTTCTTATTGGTTGATAGATCGGGTCTATGTCTATACATCTGTTGATTGCTGGCTGACCTGAGTGCTGATGATGTCGTCTAGCAAGGCGATGAAAGCTTTACGATTAAACAACCCAGCTCAGAGAACACAATACAACCAAGATCACCCACACGTAATTGTCACAGATATTTATATGAAAATTCATGAAGATAAAAGGGGTGAGAAGAGGTGAAGTAGGAAGGTTGAATTAAAAACCGAATAACAATGAAAATAATAGTACATTGAACTTGGTTTTCATACTTGAATTTACCAAGGGAGATTTTATATGATAACAAAGGTGGTTTCAGCTTCCTAATAGCTAAGGCCTCAAGAAATTTAACAATCTGTCCCCAACACATTTTGAAAATAAGTCTAAAGGGAGTTACTACATCGATCCTGTGACTTGTCTGCACGATATGTTTCGTGATCGAAGAATTTGGATGTCTGCAACCAATATTTATGGGTTCAGGTGGTTTAATTTGCTAATAAAGCCACTTTTGAATATGTTGGGAGGCCCTTAATTGTATGGACCTATGAGTCCTACCTATGTATGTCTCACGCATTTATTTGAATTGGTAGATACAATGGGATGTGACATCGTCGTTCACATGCTGTAGGGGGGTTGCAAGAATATACGGGCTTAGTGATTTCTATTAATCAAACCCTAGCTGTATGGTAAGTCATTCAAACAGCAGCGTTAAGTCTCTGCTTAAGGACTGAACTATGTGTCACCTTTGTACAGAAGACTGATGAAAACAGATTTCTTTGGGACAAACTGAAGATCTGGTTTTGGCGCTCTGATTATTTTATCCTGCCTAATAAATTTAGATGGATAGTTTATTTATCAACAATATTTTAGTCAGTATTCCTCTCTCGTCTTCCAAAGTATTCTCTGTGCCTATTCATTGGATTCTATTGAATAAGCACCTAAATAATGCTCAGTTGTACTGAAATGGACAAAGCCTATGATAGTTCAGACATTCCCCTGTTCATGTAGGTTTTCTGTAGATAGATCGTTTTATGGATCCATCCTGTCTCCGACTAATTAATATATCCAAGAATGGTAAGCAATCATCTTCCTCTTCTACGTGGATATGCTATTCTGTACTTCGTTCAAACGGTTTCGAATTCAAGTAGACTGGCTTCAGTTATCATAAATCATCAGGATATCGTCTACATATCTTCCACATGGATGGGCTTGGTCTATTAAGTTCTCGGCTAAGTTTTCCACGTGTGACAAATATGTCAGGTAGGAAGGAACCTAAAAGACTTCCCTATGGCAACGTCATCAATCCGACGGAAATGTTCACTTGTTCGCTTGCGAGTAAAAGTGGTAGCTCTTTGTTAAGTGATACAAACAAGTGGGCGCTGAAAAATTATGTAGAAATATTACATTATTATTTGTCCCTTGGGTTCCTAGTGGAACATAAAGCTTCAGTAGCACGTCTCCACTCCACTCTGTTCTCTGCAATCTCTTCAACCTGGCTCCACAACAGCCTAGAAGCTCTCATTCCTTCCACACACCATCTCCTCCATGTTACCCTCACCCAGGACACCCAACTCGTTGCTTCCCATCTGGGTTACACTCGAGTGCCTGGCCTGACGCGTGATGTCCCAAAACCACCTTCCCAGTGTATGCCCAATCCATCCCCACTTTTTCCTAGTGCATATCTGTTGGGTGATAGGTTCTTGCTTCGTTGGTTCTTTGACAGCCAGCCAGCCAGCCAGAGTTCCTCCTTGCTTATTCTTTCTCGCCTTCTCATCTAAGCTTCAGTAACAAGTCAGTGTAGGCAGTTGTTGATGAATGTCTGCGATTTGTTGGAAATACTTTTCGTAATGCCCCAAGTCTCTGAGCCATACAGAAGTACTGACTTGACTAGTACTAGTGTTGAAAACCTGGATGTTGTTCACGCTTTATGCTGAGTGTAGTGCAGAAGGTCTTCACACTGGTTTCAGATGAGTGAACGCCTGTCTTGCTCTCTTTCCGATCCTGGCTGGCTTTGACGTCCTCGTCTGTGCCACCTGTAGTTGAAACAGTGCTGCTGAGATAGATGAAAGAGACTACCTCCTTTAAGTTTCTCCCGTTCATCGTGATTAGAGCCTGTTGTTGGTGGTGGCGTTGGTTGGGTATCTTCATCACCTCTGTCTTCTCTATATTCACTTGAAGTTCCGTCTTCGCTGCCCTGACATGCCCTGCGTCTTCTGTCAACTTCTTAGTTTTGGCCTGTAGGTCTTCAAGTTTGTGCGGCAAGATATTAGACACAAGTCATCACTAGCAAAATCCAAATCTTCTAGGATCTTTTCCTCAGTCCAGCGTATGCCCACCTTCTAATTCCTCACTGTTTGTTGCATGATCCAGTCGAGTCGACCACAATCAGGAATATCGTGGGTGATAGTAGACAGCCTTGTTTCACTCGTCTTCACTTCAAGGGCGTCACTAAGATTTCCATTGTGGATCACTTGGCATATAGCTGCTGTTGAATGAGGTTGATAAACGTTTGTGGTACTCCATACCGTTGAAGTAGCTGCCTGCCAAATTACTTCTCAGTCAACGCTGTCAAACGTCTTTACAAAGTCGATGAAGTTGAGGTAGAGAGTTGACTGCCATTTTATACTCTGTTCTATGATGATGCGTAGCCTAGTGTTACAATTTGGTCCACACATGATTTGTACTTCCTGAATTCAGCCAGCCTGTTCCGGTTATAGTTTTGAATCCAGTGCATCCTTTAATCTCATCAAGATGATATGGCTTAATATTTTGCTTGTCTTGACTAAACGAACATTGTTGAATTATAATGAATTAACATCAAATGAACAAATAAATTTGTTTGTTTATATTGACATCTTTAAGGCATTTGAATAGTTCAAATTCATCTCATTTTCTCACACCTTATCCCTTTATGAATTTCATATAAATACACCATTTGTAGGATGTCTAAAGTAAAAACAATAAACTATTGGAAAAAAAAAATTTTTTTTTTTTACCTGTTTTCCCCCTTTCAACGGATCATCCAGAATACTGTCAATTTTAGCCTCTAGATCTGTTAGACTTGAGTGTATAGAATACTGTACACCAAGATAATTAGATAATGCATCAAAAAGTGGATTATCATAGATTGATGAATCATTGATAAGATTATCTTCTTTTTTCATCTCTTCTAGATTACATAATACTTCTTTTAAACCTTCTAATTCAGAGTTCAATTCATACAACTACAGATTACAAAAAGAAGAGGGTATTTGAATCCATAAGATTTGTATAGTGTAGGAGGGATAATGATTTTTGAATATCTAAACAATGTTAAATAATACAACTGTGAAACATCATAAGATCGTATACATCTAACGACACATGGTAAGGTATACTCTTCTGTGTAAGAACCAGTGAACATTCATACTGGACTAAGCATTCCATTATCATTCAATACGTCACCTAACCCAACGTCTGGATAGCCGAATAGTATTGCTAGTCATTAACACACAATAGGTTTGTTTGATTACCTACTATCCGAAAGTGAAATTGACTACAAATTTGTTTCGTTTACTAACTGTTTCACAGGTGCTTTCACAAGCAATTCATATTTATTTATGTTCAGCTAGTTGAAATACTATTATACATTGATTACTATTATTATTTGTCCCTTGGGTTCCTAATGGAACATAAGGCTTCAGTAGCACGTCTCCACTCCACTCTGTTCTCTGCAAACTTTCCAACCTGGTTCCACGACAGCTCTCATTTCTTCCTCACACCATCTTCTCCATGTCACCCTCATCTATGACACCCAACTCGTCGTTTCCCATCTGGGTTACACTCGAGTGCATGGCATGGCACGTGATGCCCCCAAAACCACCTCCTCAGTGTATGTCCAATCCATCTCCACTTCCTTGCAGGACATATTTGTTCAGCGATAGGTTCTTGATTCCTTGAATGCTTCGTTTCCAGCCAGAGTTCCTTGTTGTTTATTCTTTCTGGCCATCTAAGCTTCAGTATCAAGCCAGTACAGGCAGTTGTTGATGAATGTCTGTAGTTCGTTGGAAATGCTTTTCGTAATGCCCCAAGTCACTGAGCCATACAGAAGCAGTGACTTGACGTTGGTGTTGAAAATCCGGATCTTGTTCCACATGCTGAGTGCAGAAGATCTCCACTTAGGACAAACAAAATACACAACAATTGAACAAATTGAGTAGTTAGAAAGCACGCAAACCTATCTGTAGATTTCACCAATCAGTTAGATCATAGTGATCTAAGCTTCAAACGGTCGTTTGTGCTCGTTCGCGGACGAGCTCATCAACGGACACCTTATACAATAAGATCAGTTGGTAAACAATCTACATATTGAGCACGGTCCACGTTTACATTTCTCTTACAAGTGGACCAACTATGGACACTGATTACTTTCTAAGAAATCAAGTCATGAATCTGATCCAGTTCTAAACTAGGTCGACTGAAGTTCAAATATTCACTGACCGCAGTAATGATGAGTGCCAATAAGCATGGAAGTTGAGTCCAAGGTTTGCTTGCAATTACAAAAGGGTAAATAGTTATCTTAAAAGATTTATATTCTTGCCTGAAGTTTAATCACTGCTGTATATATCAATCAAACGGATCTCAAACTACTATCGAATAAGTAAAATATTTCAGAAAGGCATCCGTAATTACCTTTCTCTCATCTGTTAGTTGAGTCATTAGTGGAACTTTTTCAGAATATGCTGGATTTGAACGTTTCTTCAATAAACTTTCAATAGAATCATTAAGTTCAACTAGGCGTTCTTGACTTCGTTTCTGCTCCAATGATACATCAATTAAACCAGCAACATGTAAGAATAATTGGCAAGTGGCTGGAACCACTACCAATGGACTATTTACCAATAACCTTTTTTCATCAGTTGAAGAGTTGGTTTGAATAGGTGAACACATATCTTCATTTAGTACTAAATCACCATTAACAGCCGATTCATCATTTGATGACCATAAAGCATCACTTGCTGAAACTGTACCACTTACACAACCAGAAGTATCAACTAGTTTTCAAAAGTAACAATAGAAAGAAAAAAAAGGTGGTTACATTTAACAGTAAAATTTAATCCACTTTTACACGAGATAGTATATTAGTTTCGTTTATTTCATATAGCACATAATGAATGATACAGTAATATATGTGTGATGGTGATGCAATCCAACCTGGTCGAGGCTACAAATGACATTTATTGAATGAGTGTTTCTGTTACTATCCAATTGCTTAGGTTGAAATAGATGAAACGGAGTTCGAACAGTAGACCAATTGCTTGAAAGTTGAATTATTAAACCAATGAACCTCAATCTTTAGGTAATCGACTATTAAATCAGTAGTAAGCCGTATGTTCGAATCCCTATCCTGCTTACCAAGATTTGAGTAGTATGGTAACACCATAGTCTCGCATGTGACTACTAGAGTTATTATTACCGCTTCACAGTACAAACATTTTTCAGAACATCATAAACATTTCTTCTTTATAATTATGTAAGGTTTTATTATCAATGGCTAAGAATCGTTGTATAATTGAGTCGTGTTCTATAGTCATCTATAGAAAAACTGTAATGTTCTTAGATGAATACTTCTATGAGAGAAAAAATCAACTAAAAATTTTTATGAAGTCCCTGAATGTCGAATGTTGTTTCAAAACCTACAGGTCATTCAGTTCAAGGTATTTAAAGGATACGACGACTAGCGTATTTTTGTTGGAGGATCTAATAACTCATGGATGTAAGTTTATTTACCATGTTCTGTTATCATCATAATAATCTCCTTTTAAACACCATAAAATTATCGGTTATGAGATAAGACAAATTTATTGGTGCTATAAACTGAGACAAATATTGAACTTTGAACATGAATATAGTTAGGTTGATGAATGAATTACGACCTTCGGTACAACGTTGCTTAGTTACTCTCAAGGTAAAAGTGTTGCATTGAAAAAGTATGCCTAGTCAACGTCTGCCTCGTCACATAAAAATGGTCGAAGTAGGTGTATGCTGAAAAAAGGTTCGAGGTGGTCAGGCTAAAACATGGTATTAATACTCCAAGCCTTTGACTGTTGGTTTGAGACCTGTATGGTGATTCAGACTAGCTGGTTGGGGTCCACGAGACAAGAGAATCATGTGGTTGAAGACTCCAGGTGATCACGTGGCTCAGAACCAATGTCAGTGGCAAAGATGTATCCGCACGCACATTATCCTCATCTTAACGAGGTTATACCGAACCTCAACATTTTCTCACTCTTCCTTTCTCTCTTTTAGTACTTGATATCTCATTCGACTGAAGTTTCTTTTCTTCATCTTGCACTTCACTGTCTTTTTACTTGATGTACTGATATGAGGTACGGCGGCAACTCAGACGGTAACGCAATCAATCAATATCAACATAGGAACAAGCATTACTACACAACGGTCCAAGTTGCCACCACACCTCATATCAGTACATCAAGTAGAAAGGTAGTGAGGTGAAGGATGAAGATAAGAGAATGCAGTCGAAAGAAATATAAAATACAAGAAAGAAAGGAAGATTGACAAAATGGTGAGATTCGGTATAACCTCGTTAACATGAGGATAATGTGTGTGGGGATACATCTGTGCCACTCACATCGGTTCTCAACCATATGATCACCTACAGTCAGTCTACAACCACTTGCTTCTCTTGTCCCAAAGACCCCACTTCAACCAACTAGTCTGCATCGCCGCAGATGGCTCAAACCAACATTCAGAGACTTCATACATTGATGCCATGTTTTAGTCTGGTCACCTCGAGCCTTTTTCCAACCTGCACCTACTTTGACCAACATTGTGTGAAGAGGCAATCGGCGACTGGGTATACGTAGTACGTGTCCCAACCATCTCAATCGATGAAGGTTCATAACCTCGTCTACTGATTTACCTAAACTCCTTGAACTAACTTCCGCATTACTCACGTGGTGACACCACGGAATGCGGCTTATACTACGAAGGCAAAGATGGTCAAACACTTGAAGCCTTCTTATATCTTCCACTTTCAATGATCATGTTTCACAGACATACAGTAAAACAGACTGGACTGCTATGTAGTACATGCGACCCTTAGTAGACAAACGGATATCACGGTGGTGGCGGTAACGCAGTAATGTCTAGTTCATTCTTTCACGAACAATAGCTTAGTGTACGATAACAGAAAGAAAAATGAAGAAATTAGCGTCATTTCGGAGTGCCAAAAACTAGCACTGCATGGTAAGGGGGAGAAAGTCACGAAAAAGAGGAATTTTATAGAATATAAACAATAGATTGTAATGCTTAGGCTTCAGACATTCCCAACAATTAGTTAGTCAAACACTTTATTCCGTGGCAGAAACCTATCATTATTGCCTGAGGTGTGACAAGACCCCGATAAGACAAGAATCAGTGGTTGAGAAATACTGGTGACATGGTTGAAAATTGCTTACAGCGGTGCAGAGGTATTCACTCCTTGATATCTTCTAAAGCTTGAATATTCGCGCTAAACTTTATCTTCAGATTGTTTGTTCTCAACTTTCATATCACTCTTATTCTATCCACCTGTTGTTTATGTACTACTATGAACTGTGACAATTTGAGGTGATACGCTTGCGTGCAAGGTTCTGCCTTGATTACTGTTCATCTTTCTGACCTGAAATAACATACTTGACAATGAGTGGTTAAGGTCATTTCACTTATTCTTAATACCTAACTTCCTTGCACTATGAACATCAAGCTTCCCTTACCTAAATCTCATCACATCTTCGTTGGCAACAGAATAAATTCTGTCGAAGGAGTAAAAGTTGGCCCTCTTAACGCTTCTATAATAAATTACTTAGTTCAGCACAGTAACAGTAAATTTCTTCCCATATTATCATTGTAGTGAATATTTAAAACTATATATATATATATATATATATATATATATATATATATATATATATATATATATATATATATATATATATATATATATATATATATATATATATATATATAACCTCGCCTGGTTAACTAGTTCACTAGTTACTAGCCGGTCCTAAGCCCACATAAAGAGGGAAGGTTCGGCATAGGGCTAGCAACCCTATCCCCTAAAACAAATCCAACCGCTAAAGAAACTTCAAAGCACAAACAAAATATAAAAAATGAAAACAAAATTATTCCTCGTTGGAATCGGAGAGACGAAATGACGCCAGTTGGTGAAAGCCTTCGGGAAGCCAATTGGCCGATGTGTCTTCTCTCGATGAAAGCGAAAGTAAACGTGGGGACATGGAATGTCCGTACGATGTTTGAACCCAGCAAGGCAGCCCAGATTGCAAACGAGATGAGAAGGTATCACATTGAAGTGCTTGCCATTAAGCTACTGAAATGCGGGAAAGCAGCAGGACCAGATGGGATCCCGCCAGAAGCACTGAGAACAGATGCAGAGACATGGATTTCCAATAAACTACAGACATTCATCAACAACTGCCTACGCTCGCTACTGAAGATCAGATGGCCAGAAAGAATAAACAACAAGGAACTCTGGGAACGAACCAACCAAGAACCTATCACCCAACAAATATGCACTGGAAGGAAGTGGAGATGGATTGGGTTGGGCATACACTGAGAAGGCCGACTAGGGACATCACACGTCAGGCCCTCGAGTAAAATCCCCATGGGGAGCGACGAGTTGGATGTCTGAGGGTGACATGGTGGAGATCGTGCGAGGAGGAAATGAGAGCTTCTGGGCTGTCGTGGAGCCAGGTTCAAAAGATTTCGGAGAACAGAGTGGAGTGGAGACGTGCTACTGAAGCCTTATGTTCCATTAGGAACCCAAGGGACTAATAATATATATATATACCGCCTCCGAGTTGCTTATTTCTGTTGCTATCCAGTTTTTCTTCTAGTTTCTTTATGCGATTTATAACATAATTTGTTAGGTGGTAGCAAGCAGTAGGATCCAAGACGACCGTCTGTCCCTGTCGAGAACTTGGCAGCTGGGTGCATATCGACTCTAATGAGTAATGATGCACTTTAAGGGACTGGAACCTAATGTCCAACACTTCAAGTGTCAGAGCGTTATCTACAGGGCTACTGGGTGAGGAGAACTCTTTTGTTATGCAACAATTATTATCTATTATTTATTTCTTGGTGGTTTCACGTTCCCATTAGTGATATGCTTTGAGATGGGAAGTCGTGACAGTTGAGACGGAAGAACAAACAATCAACGATGTCATTGTAAATAGGTCGTGCTATATGAAAAATTGACAGAATTAGTAAAGTGTAGACTATTCGATTAGAACCGGTTGGATCAATAGCAACCTGCTCACTGCGAAAGTTTACGGTCCTGGGTTCGCTTCCAAGAGGAACTGTGGGTACGCACTGCTGAGGAGTCTTATAATAAAACGATACAGCCCTCTAGTGCATCAAGGTTTTCAGTGGTTCTCCAACCGATATCAGTCCATAATGAATACTAAATTGGGACCCCGTTGTTTATACCAAATCGACGTGACTGTCCTCTGTTGGTTTCGGTGTTGGAAGTGATGAGTGAATGAGCCTTAGTTCTAGTGGGAACAGCTGATGTTTTGAGTTATTCCTTGTTATTCATCAGAAAACAAGTTGAATCGTAATGAAACTTCAGATAATATCGAGACGTGTTCAAAGAGTTCATATACATATAGCCAGCCAGCAATCTGATCCAATTTAATAATCAACGGGAAACGGAACTACAAGTACCAATAAATCAATCAATCAATAACATGTAACTTAGATTGTTTACCTTAAAAGGTACATTAAATGTGCATAACACCTTACATAAATAAGTTTTATCTATCATTTACAATAAACTCCTTCAATCCAAGCGTCGTCTTATTCTTCTTTGTGTTAGCAATTGTGTGTATGTGAACTTGAAAAAAAAGTCGTAATCCATAAGTTCAGGTAGAAAGAATAATGATCAACAGTTTCATATTCCTGCAAATCGTAACACCAGTGTAAAACCTATGTGTTAAGCTAAGAGTTACACCTAACGCGCATAAACAACTATGATACTATCTAACTACTTATACCAAGAAAGGTGAAGTAAAGTTTTAATTTGTAACTGAATAAATTCAAAAACCATATCAGATCTTAATACTGTTGTTTGCTTAAACATAGTTGATCAGTTTGAACGAGGTGACTGATGATGAAATATCACCTAGGATATAGAAGGTCCCTTTGACATTTGTCAACTCGAGTCATCTGCAGAGCTGGCTGGCAAGATATCCGACTATCTGTCGAAAGATCAGTATACTGCACTGCAGTCCATTTTATCTTGTTACACGCCTACGAGACATCAACGTGAATAGTAGAAGACGTGAAGTGGTCACACGATTTTGATCACAGATATCTTCGTAGCATTGCTCGCGTTTGGTGGATTCACTGTGTGAACAATGTGGAGGTCAGACGAAGGGTACTGGACAAGTCGATTGATGAGGTTATCGACTGAGATTGTTTGAACAGGTACTGCGCATGCAGACCCACCGTCTACCTCGACTAGGGGACGTTGGATTAGGTTGGAAGAGATTTCAGAGTGACAAGACGAAAACGTGACACTAGTCAATGAAGTCTCTTACTGTTGATCTGAACAATGTAGGAAGGTGTGAGCTACCTGGTTGGTGTCTCCGATACGAAAGGAATCAATGGTTGAGAACTCTTGGTGACATAAATGCAAACTGATCACAACAGTATAGATATATTCACTCGTTGACATCTTCTAAAGCTTGAATATTCACGCTAACCTTTATCTTCTACGTTGATTTTGTCAGCTAGTCTAACGCGCATTATATAATTATTACATTCACTGGTACACAGTCCTACAGATGATGATACAAAAAATAATTTGAGCCAATTAATCGCTTACTCTGTTTACGATCAGAGACTATTTGTTCAACACAACATCGACCCAACGGTTCAATAACATCTTTTACATATTGTCCAGCTATCAAGGTAGATAATATAGCTTCAGGGGCAACCAATTTAACTTTCAATGGTTGACGACTTGCAAGGGAAATTGGTATATGACAGGCTGAGAGAAGTGCACGAATTCGATGGATAATATTCAGTACAAGATGGAAGTCTGTTTCAACTCCATTTTCATCACGGAATATATTAACCTATAAGTAAAAATTATCGAAGTAATTTATTATTATTATAATAAATAAGGGAAACTTATACAACAAATAGTCACTGACTGAAATTGGGTTTGGTGTGCACGCAAGACAGTATTATTACGAACAGCAGCTTGCTTATGGATGGTAGTGGCTAGAAGTGGAATCTAGGATGTGCGTTTCGTCCTACTTGGAACTAGTCAGCTGGATATAGCTGCACTGTCATTTTGTAAATGGCCCTAGGGTATTTACTGAGTTATATATGAAACATCTTCTTCACCAGGCATTCATTTATCATCGGAACCCTCCATCTTTCCCGTTGTTGATATAACTTAATGAAGTGATCAATCTCGGTTGGTGTTGAGGTTTCTTGTATGATAGATTTGGATGAAGCCAACAAAAACTTATTCAATGTCATTAGTCAACACTAGGGAATTGTTGTAAAGTGTGATAGGATTGTCTAGATACGCATAAGAAGCCCAAACCCCCTGCAGCTCTTTACAACCAGTCGTGTTGCTTAGATGTTTCGAAAAAAGGCACTTACGTGTATATATCAGACTGGATGAAGCGGCAAAATCAATAGGATATGAGCTTCTAGAAGAGTGCTTGTAAATATAAATAAACCGTTGTATATTGCAGGCAGTTTGACGTTGGAATACACTTTCTGTTGTCTTACCGCCTCTTTCACTTACCGAGGAGCTGAGCGACAGTAAAGAGTGGAATTTGAAGGTTATTTTTCAAGTGTCAAGTGAATAGCAATGAAAGTTTAGAGGCGCGTTTCATCACCGTTGGGACTTGTCAGCTGGGTATGACTGTTGCTCTCAGTGGGTGATGTTGTTCCCACTGAGACTGGAACATAGAGTAGCGCGCTCAAAGCACCAGAGCGTCAACCATTAAGCCAGTGAGTCACAATAGCCATTCCTTGCACTATGGGCGCGCTGAGCTCGTCGTTTCCTCTTTGGCTTCCACTTGAAGCCCTTGACTGGAATACGTCCAATCCAATCCATCTCCACTTTCTTCTGCATATTTCTTAGGCGTTAGGTTCTTGCTTCGTTGGTTGGTTCGTTACCAGCCTGAGTTCCTTCTTGCTCATTCTTTCTCGCCTTCTCATCTGATCTTCAGTATCGAATGAGTGTAGGTGGAAGCTGCTGATGAATGTCTGTAGTTTGTTACAAATACTTTTCGTAACGTCCCAAGTCTCTCAATCATCACATAGAAGCACTGACTTACTTAACTGACTTAGTGTTGGAAATCTGGATCTCGTTCTTCATGCTGAGTGTAGTAGATCTTAACGGATTATTGAAGGCCTGTCTTTCCAATCCTGGCTTTGACGTCCTCATTTGTGACGCCGCCGCCCATAGTTGAAACGATGCTGTCTATGTGGAAAGCTGAAAGCGACAACTTCCGTGAGAGATTTCTCCCCTCGATGGTGATTGGTGCTTGTTGTTGTTGCTGTTAGTTGGGTATTCTCATCACCTCTCTCTTCTTCTTCTCTACGTTTACCTGAAGGAAGTCCCATCCTCACTGCCCTGCCTGTTCCTCCAACTTATTACTTTTCGCTTGTACATCTTCGAGTGTGTGCGACATAAGACATTAAACATAAATCATCATGTGCGAAATCCAAATCTTCTAGGTTCCTTTCATCGGTCCAGCGTACGCCCCTCTTCTCGCTCCTCATAGCTTCTTCCATGATCCAGTCCAGTTGACCACAATGAGGAAGATGATAGGTGATAGTTGGTGGCGACCTTGTCTTACTTCTGTCTCCACTTCAAAGGCGTCACTGAGATTTCCTTGTAAATCACTTTGCATGTAGCATCATATGGCATATAGCTGTTGTTGAATGAGGTTGATAAACGTTTGTGGCCCTAAAACCATAGTGTTGAAGTAGTTTCCAAATTACTTCTTGTTCGACGCTATCGAAGTTGAGGTAGAGAGTTGAGTTGACTGACATTCTCTACTCTGTTTAATGATGATGTGTAGTGTAGCGTTGCAATTTGATCGGTACATGATTTATTTTTCGTGGAGCCAACAGCCTGTTCTGGTTGTAATTTTGAATCCAGAGCATTCCTTAGTCTCTCCAGGATGATGTGGCTTAATCTTTTACTTGGTGTGGACAGGAGCATGATTCCGCGACAGTTCTTGCAAAGATTGATTGAACAGTAATGAGGCTAAGCAAATCAGTTGATTAGTTTGTGAACATTTAACGGCTGAAGTAACTGGGATATGTATTGTGTACATCGAGCCACCGCCTATCTAGGTGTGTTACGGTAACCAAATTTGGACGAGGTTGTCAGAAAGCTAGTGATGGTCAGATCAACGGATAAAGTCTGAAAATCGGTTTCAGCTGTATAGAAAAGTGTAGGCTGCATTGTTGAAGTTTCGGTAGTTTTTATTGGTTAGTGGTTGGAAACTCTTGATAGTATAGCTGAAAACCAGACAGTTAGTCACTCTTATTGTTATCGCATAGCCTTTTCAGCCTATTTTAATTTCATCCACTTTTGTGTTTGCTTAATTTGTATTTGATACTATGAAGCATTGTAACTTGAATTGTGATGTATTTGTATCTATAGGGATTTGGGTTCATTCATGTCTACTCATTGCCATCTGACGTTGTAGAAGATATTTCAGTACACATCGACTTCTGTTCTTAGTCTAAGTGGTTACTCTCTTAGGTATATTGTCTCATTGATCGATTAAAACTTAGCTATGAAAGAAAATTTTTCCATTTGATGTTGACTCACTATTGACTAAATGCCACACACACACACGAATATACCGACACTTTCTATGCTGAGCCGATAACATGAAATTCAATCACTTGATATCAACATAGGAACAGGCATTACTACACAATGGTCCAAGTTGCCACCACACCTGATATCAGTACATCAAGTAGAAAGGTAGTGAGGTGAAGGATGAAGATAAGAGAATGCAGTCAAAAGAAATATAAAATACAAGAAAGAAAGGAAGATTGACAAAATGGTGAGATTCGGTATAACCTCGTTAACATGAGGATAATGTATGTGGGGATACATCTGCACCACTCACATCGGTTCTCAGCCATATGATCACCTACAGTCAGTCTCCAACCACTTGCTTCTCTTGTCCCGTGGACCCCAACCAGCTAGTCTGGATCACCGCAAACGGCTCAAACTAACAGTCAGAGACTTCATACATTGGTGCCATGTTTTAGTCTGGCCACCTCGAGCCTTTTTCCAACCTGCACCTACTTTGACCAACATTGTGTGAAGAGGCGATCGGTGACTGGGCATACGTAGTACGTGTCCCAACCATCTCAACCGACGAATGTTTATAACCTCGTCAACTGATTTACCTCTACACCTGACTTCTGCAATACTCACGCGGTGACACCACGAAATACGTCCTATACTGCGAAGACAACGATGGTCAAACACTTGAAGCCTTCTTCTATCTTCCACTTTCAATGACCATGTTTCACAGCTGTTAGTTGGGTATTCTCATCACCTCTGTCTTCTTCTTCTCTACGTTTACCTGAAGGAAGTCCCGTCCTCACTGCTCTGCCTGTTCCTCCAACCTATTACTTTTCGCTTGTACATCTTCGAGTGTGTGCGACATAAGACATTAAACATAAATCATCATATGCGAAATCCAAATCTTCTAGGTTCCTTTCATCGGTCCAGCGTACGCCCCTCTTCTCGCTCCTCATAGCTTCTTGCATGATCCAGTCCAGTTGACCACAATGAGGAAGATGATAGGTGATAGTTGGTGGCAACCTTGTCTTACTTCTGTCTCCACTTCAAAAGCATCACTGAAATTTCCATTGTAGATCACTTGTCATGTAGCATCATATGGCATATAGCTGTTGTTGAATGAGGTTGATAAACGTTTGTGGCACTAAAACCATAGTGTTGAAGTAGTTTCCAAATTACTTCTTGTTCGATGCTATCGAATGCCTTTTCAAAGTGGATGAAGTTGAGGTAGAGAGTTGAGTTGACTGACATTCTTTACTCTGTTCAATGATGATGCGTAGCTTTGCAAATTAATCGGCACATGATTTATTTCTAGTGATGCCAGCAGCCTGTGTGCAGTGCAATTTTTAGTCTCTCTAGGATGATGTGGCTTAATATTTTGCCTGGTGTGGACAGCAGCATGATCCCGAGCCAGTTCTTGCAAAGACTTAGGTGGCCCTTGTTTGGGAATTTGACAAGATAGCCCTTCTTCTAATCAATGGGCAGGTACCTTTCCTACCATCCAAACCTTCTGCAGCAGTGGTGTCAGCATATCCGCTGTTGTCTCTGCGTCTGCTTTCAGCGCATCTGGCGAAATTCCATCTGGTCTTGCTGCTTTATCGGCCTTCATCAACTTGATGGCGTTCAGGATTTCTGCTTTTGTCAGAGGGTTTTTGTTCACTGATATTTTTGTGGCTGGGCTGCTGATGGTATTTCTGGACGAGTTCCAGGTGGAGGTCGATACAAGAGTATTTTGAAGTGGTCAGCCCGTCGTTCCCTTTGTTTCTCCTATTTGGTAACTAGCTTTCCTTCACTGTCTTTCATTGATTTCATCTAAGTTGATCTATTCCCTCTTAGATAGTAACCTGGTTATTTGATATAGTGTTGTCAGGTTTCTCCTACCTCCAGCCTGTACTGCTTCACTTGCCAGCGTGTCGTAGAAGTGTCTTTTGTCTTTCCGTACACTTTTCTTCACTTCTTTCTCCAGTGTAGTGTTTTAGAGGTTGTTCAGTTCCTATTGTCGTTGAGCATCCTTGCACTGGTTTATCTTCTGCTTCACCATCTTCCTCTCTTCTATCAGCTCCCATGTGTCCGTCAAGATCCATTATTTGTCTTCTTTCTTCTTCCTTCCTATACGGTTATTCAGGTTTTCTTCCACGTCTAACCTCTCCTATTTTTTCCTGATGTATGACGACGTGAAGATGTCCTTTGAAGTTTCGTCCTTCAGTTCAGTTTGCGTTCCGAGTGTTGAACTTGAATTGTCGATCACCAACTTCTTTGAAGGCTTTCAGCTTGATTTGGAAGGTTCCTTACACTAGAAAGTGAGTGGTATGAACCTACATGTGCTCCCCTTCCCGTAGGCTGCGTCTCCACTTTCTTCATATTGAAATGAAGCTGATCTGATTTCTGGTGTAGTGTCCATCTGGTGAAATCAACTCCATGTCGCTTTTGGCCTCAAATCACCAAGTCATTAAGTGCGCAGAAGTCTGCAAACACTTCCTTATTTTCATTCATCGATTTACCGAGTGTTTCTCGACCCATGATCAGTTCTCTTCATGTGGTGTCTGCTCCCAGTTTGGCATTCATGTCACCCCACCCATTCGAATTTTGATGTCACCAACTGGGGTGGAGTCTTGTCCAATACTGATTCCAGCTGTCTGTAGAATTCCTCCTTTTGCTCTCGATCCCCATTGTTTGCAGGTGCGCAGTGTAGCGTATCATTTTATGATTGTGACTTTCCTTCCTCTTGAGTTGAATCTTGATGTCATGATCCTGCAGGGGGAAATTGGTTCCCACAGCATGAGAGCCTTCAATGCTCTCATGGACATCATGATATCCACTCCAAAACTCAGTATGCTCGTGGTTGTTGTCTGGGTGACAATATCGGAGTAGATTATTGACTCTCCAGTTAAGAGTATGAAGAGTTTACTTCCATTCCATCTGCTTTCGAGGATTTCTAGCACTTTAGTGCTATACCTTTTCATCTCTTTTGCAATCTGGGCAGCCTTGTCAGCCGGCTTCAAACATTGTCCGGACATTCTATGTCCCCATTCTAACTTTCGTCGAGAGAAGAGACCGGTCAATTGGCTTTTAACAACCGGCATCTTTTCTCCTCCCCGATTCCAGCTAGGGTGGCCTTTAAAGTCACGCATTCATTTTCGCCTCTTCAACCAGTCTAATATTTACACGTTGATGTTACGCCCTTTTTTTTCTTGAAATATCAAGGCAACACGACCAGTTTTAAAAGGCTTTCAGGGATTTAAGGCTTGTTATTCGGGTCTCAGCAATCCTATCGCACACTATAACAATCATAGGCTGAAACTCGTGTCATAAGCAAGAGTTGACGACCTAATAGTACTTGTCACCCACTGAATATCTAAATTCTGAGCGACTTTAAAGGCCACCCTAGCAACTGTTGAGATGACCAATGACATTCCTCGATTTTATGAGAAACTACCTTTCTAGACGACATTTGATTGGTTAATTTAGCAGTTGCTGGGGGTGGTCTTTAAAGCCAGACCAAAACTGCATGATAATCCGTTAAGGATGTTATGTTCGATATTCAGTGGCGATTAAAATTTAATCCGTTCACTAGTGAGTATATTAAGGCCATTCTATTGAAGGTGTTAGGTAAGTGTAAAACGAATCAAACAGATGCATTACTTACATCAACAGATTTAGGATAGGGTGTAATACACAAGCTATCAATTATGGTTAATAGTTTAGCATTATTATTATTATTATTGTTCCTAGGTAAGCGTTGATATAGCTCTTCAGTTATAAACGGCATAAATGGATGCAGTAGACGAAGACCACAATTGAAACAGATATAGACGATTTGACGAACAAGTTTGATACGTTCACTTTCTATTTCAGTCATCTCTGAAATATCCTTTTTCACCTTAGTAATAGGTTTTGTATACTCCTAAACAGAAAAGCAAGAAGAATATAACAACGAGAATTATAGATAAAAAAAAGTTAAAATATTTCCGATAAATTCTTTAGTTTTACGTAAATCTTTGAATTAGGACGCTGTCAGGTGATGTACTGCGATGGATCATAGGAAATAGTATCCTAGATCACTTCACTATGAGATAAAAGACAATGTATTGTACCTAGTGAATACATGTGAAGATGAAGTCATCAGTCTGGTATGATTCATTCAGTCAGGTAGATAGACAGACATAACTGCATCAGTCCAAGTTCTTAAACACTTCACATCACTAAGACTCTTCAACCACTTGTTCATGTCGTCTACGGGACAGTAACCAGTTAGGTAATTCCTACATTGTTGATCTCAGCTGTGTAGGAGAGACGAAGAACTATCCACGTAAACTACACAAAAAACAAACAAATGAAGATGCATATAGCCTAAGTATTCATTTCATTCAAAGTGAATAATTACTCTTTACAACCTGACTGACACTTATCAACTGATATGAAAGTCAACAAAAGTATCATACCAATATCCAGGAGAACATACAAGAAGTATCAACATTACTATCCAAATACGATAGTCCTAGATATATCATTATGGATCACAATTGACTAAATCTAAAACAAAGTTGACGAACAGAAAAAAATAAGACAAGATGAATCATCATTATCAGAGTTAACGTCTAGATCGTCAACAGTTAATGCAGCTTGTAATTTTTAACTTATCCCTCCGATATCCTAGTTCCTAGCAGTGAAGTCAAAGATGCGCATTTCGTCCTGTTTGGGACTCGTCAATTGAATGTACCTGCCTCCCAATGAGTGGTATTGTCCCCACCAGGATTCGAACTCGGGATTGATCTCTTCAAATGCCAGGGCGTTATTCACTAGACCACTGAGACATGATAGACACTTCTTGTACGACGGGTATAGTTATAGTAGTTCAGTTGGTAAAGTATCGGGCAGGAAACCCAGTGGTGGCTCGTTCGAGTCCGGCCGCGGTCCAAATTTTCATCTTACCTTCAATCACCACTTAGTATAAATACTAGTTTGTCGAACCACGGGTGATATCTCAGATAGTCAAATGATAACCAATATGATGCGCTCCCTCTCGAATTCAGTTAGATTTGGATTGGCAGCCAGTGTGAATATGATCAAACGGTAGTAACGGGTCACGAATTCATATGATAGTGGGGCAAAACCCACCCATGGTGATTGAAGTGAAATAAAAATCTGGTCAGAAGTTGGACCTCGTAGCTCAGGTGGTAGAGCATCGGGTCAGAAATCCGGTGGTCTCTGGTTTGAATCCGGTCGCGGTCCAAATGTTCATCTCACCTTCAACCATCACCCAATATTGCTACACACAATAACACTAATCCTTAACAAAGATAAGACTGTATTTTCGTTCACCTATAACAAGTTTTTCCATAAAGTCACTATTTTATACACTTCAGGAAACCGCTTTTACAGAGAATAAAGCCTATACAAGTTATTGATGGTCCATGTAGTAAATGGTGACGAATCAGATCCCATTGTCTATACATGATAATAGTATGAATATAAATGTCATTCCTATGTTAGTCAAAAAGCGTTCAAACTTGTCTTTGCTATTCACTACTAGTCTGCAGTTCAAGGCGATGGGATATGTGCACATAGGACTGGCTGTGGATATGGAAGAAAAATACTCGGAATTTATACAAGAGAGCCACAAAGCTCATCACGAATGAAGATGACAAGGAAACAGAAGTACGCAACATATTAGATGTATTGCGCTACAATAACTACTCGAAGAATGTCATTCAAAAGATTTAGAAATATGAGCAGAGGGACCCAAGAGGAAATCCGAATGATGATTCTTGGATAAGTACAGTAGTTCTATCATTCTGCCAAGATACAACTGAAGAGATACAAAGGATTTTAGGAAAAAACATCCGAATTACAAGACAATCAACTATCTCAGGAATCGCCTTAGTCGATTGTGATGCCTATTATATTGGGGAATCATCCTGTGAGATTCTCATTAAGGCTAAAGAACGTGGCTAGTTACACAAAACGATCGCTAAATACTCCTGTAGAACTAGAGAATTTACAAATCATTTCGGTAATTGCGGTTCACATCGTCATTTATCACACTCACAAAATCGATATTGAAAATATTAAAGTTATTCACAAAAGGTTTTTTAAACTATAAAGAAAGAAGAATAGCTGAGATATTTTATATTATGTTGAATCCTAATGCACTCAACTCAGTCAACAGAAAGAAACGCCTAACTATTCAACCAACCTTGACAGTATTTTCAATGATCAGAACAATAGTAAATACACAAATGCGAACCAAATTTGTCATTTATGATACAGTTACTATGTTTTAACAAGTAGAGGTTATAAGGTAAATGGGTTATGGATATTGAAATAATGGAGAATATTTGTTGCTCAGGTGGATGGTCTTGGTTTTATTGTTCTCTGAGGAGATGGGTTGCTGAATCCTGGAGCTTTCTTTGTCTTGCTAAACGACATCATCAACACTAACTTCAGTATGAAGTGACCTGTCACAATATCTCTCCATCAGTGATTTAGTAGCTTGCGCTGACGATGTGGTCTGTGATTGGTTGTTTCCTTTGATTGTTGTGTCATTGACTGTATAGACTTTCCTGTTGACTGTCTCTATGCTTGACCAATCACCTTTCTGTCGTTTATCATCTTATTGGTTGATAGATCGGGTCTATGTCTATACATCTATTAATTGCTGACTGACTGATCTGAATGCCAAGATTCCACGCATTCTCTGATGAAATTCTTTGTGTTTCCTCTCTCCGTCCAAAATTTCTACATTGTCGAAATTGAATTCATGTCCATAATTATCCACATGTATTGAAATGAGTGATGAGATGTTGTGTGTGATGTTTAATAGCCAATTGGTGTTCATGTAGACGAAGGCGAAGAGGGCGGCCACATTAGTCAACGCAGTGTTGACTATAGGTATTGCAGTTGATTTTGTAAATGATATTCGGTTTGTCTTCTTTGCTTGTTGCATCTTTTAGTCTGCATAATAGTTTTTGCAGGGAGTTTGTTGGTTTATGAATGGCCACAGCAATTCCAAGTGTTCTCAGCAATCTTGTCGTGATCTCTGATATATTTTTTATGTTCGGTAGAATGATGCATTTATTGGTTTCTGTCGATGACTTTGTAGTTGATAATGTACGGGATAGGCATCTTGTGATAAAGTTTCGTAGGTAACCGTTCTTCTTTAGAATGGACATCAAGTAATTTTCTTCGTTTCTCCTTGAAGTTGTTGTGCTGTAGTGTGTCCTCGCTCTTTTGAGTAGAGTTTGCACTCAACTGATCTTGTGGGTTGTTGCTACTGTAGTTGATGATTTGGTCAGTATGTGTTGTCTTCCTGTACACTTGGGTTTCCAGCTTTCCGGCATTTGGCCTATTGACTAAAACGTCCAGGAACGGTAGTTGGTTGTTTGACTTTTTCTCCACTGTGAATTTGATGTCAACAGAAAGAAACACCTAACTATCCAACCAACCTGGACAGTATTTCCAATGATCAGAATCATAGTGCATACACACATATAAACCAAATTTATCATTCATTACAGTTACTACGTTTTGGCTAATGGAGGTTATAAGGTGAATGGGTTATGCATATATACAGATTATAATGACACTACCCAACAAATCGAAATTGAAATCCACTCAATAATCACGTGCAAATCAGCACAGTAAGCACTGAGCAACACCAATTGTATGGGGGCACACATTTTGATAGATGATGTGGGGTTCAAACCCGTGGCCAATTGATAGAAGGTCAACTGTTTAAACCAGTCAGTGATCAACAACTCGAATAAAACCTAACTGTAAAGTAATTTCATGAAACCTCTACACGGATACAAAAGGCTCGATTGGCTTTTGCTAATTTACGCCACCAATGGCGCCGCCGTGATATCCGTTTGTCTATAAAGGGTTGCGTGTACTACACAGCAGTCCGCTCTGTTCTACTGTATGGCTGTGAAACATGGTCATTCAAAGTGGAAGATAGAAGAAGGCTTCAAGTGTTTGACCATCGTTGTCTTCGCAGTATAGGACGTATTCCGTGGTGTCACCACGTGAGTATTGCAGAAGTCAGGAGTACAGGCAAATCAGTTGACGAGGTTATGAACCTTCATCGATTGAGATGGTTGGGACACGTACTACGTATGCCTAGTCACCGATTGCCTCTTCACACAATGTTGGTCAAAGTAGGTGAAGGTTGGAAAAAGGCTCGAGGTGGCCAGACTAAAACATGGCACCAATGTATGAAGTCTCTGACTGCTAGTTTGAGCCGTTTGCGGTGATCCAGACTAGGTGGTTGGGGTCCACGGGACAAGAGAAGCAAGTGGTTGTAGACTGACTGTAGGTGATCATATGGTTGAGAACCGATGTGAGTGGCACAGATGTATCCCCACACACATTATCCTTATCTTAACACTATACCAATTCCCACCATTTTCTCATTCTTCCTTTCTCTCTTTCTTCTCGTACTTTATATTTCTTTTGACTGCATTCTCTTATCTTCATCCTTCACCTCACTACCTTTCTACATGATGTACTGATATCAGGTGTGGTGGCAACCTATACGGTTACGCAGTAATGCCTGTTCCTATGTTGATATTAACTGATTGAATTTCATGTTATCGGCTCAGCATAGAAAGTGTTGGTATATTCGTGTGTGTGTGTGGCATTTAGTCAATAGTGAGTAAACATCAAAATGGAAAAATTTTCTTTCATAGCTAAGTTTTAATCGATCAATGAGACAATATACCTAAGAGAGTAACCACTTAGACTAAGAACAGAAGTCGATGTGTACTGAAATATCTTCTACAACGTCAGATGGCAATGAGTAGACATGAATGAACCCAAATCCCTATAGATACAAATACATCACAATTCAAGTTACAATGCTTCATAGTATCAAATACAAATTAAGCAAACACAAAAGTGGATGAAATCAAAATAGGCTGAAAAGGCTATGCGATAACAATAAGAGTGACTAACTGTCTGGTTTTCAGCTACACTATCAAGAGTTTCCAACCACTAACCAATAAAAACTACCGAAACTTTAACAATGCAGCCTACACTTTTCTATACAGCTGAAACCGATTTTCAGACTTTATCTGTTGATCTGACCATCACTAGCTTTCTGACAACCTCGTCCAAATTTGGTTACCGTAACACACCTAGATAGGCGGTGGCTCGATGCACACAATACATATCCCAGTTACTTCAGCCGTTAAATGTTCACAAACTAATCAACTGATTTGCGTAGCTTCATTACTGTTCAATCAATCTTTGCAAGAACTGTCGCGGAATCATGCTCCTGTCCACACCAAGTAAAAGATTAAGCCACATCGTCCTGGAGAGACTCGAAAACATGCTCTGCATTCAAAATTACAACCGGAACAGGCTGTTGGCTCCACGAAAAATAAATCATATACCAATCAAATTGCAACGCTACACTACACATCATCATAGAACAGAGTAGAGAATGTCAGTCAACTCAACTCTCTACCTCAACTTCATCCACTTTGAAAAGGCATTCGATAGCGTCGAACAAGAAGTAATTTGGAAATTGCTTCAACACTATGGTTTTAGTGCCACAAACGTTTATCAACCTCATTCAACAACAGCTATATGCCATATGATGCTACATGACAAGTGATCTACAATAGAAATTTCAGTGATGCCTTTGAAGTGGAGACAGAAGTAAGACAAGGTCGCCACCAACTATCACCTATCATCTTCCTCATTGTGTTCAACTGGACTGGATCATGCAAGAAGCTATGAGGAGCGAGAAGAGGGGCGTACGCTGGACCGATGAAAGGAACCTAGAAGATTTGGATTTCGCACATGATGATTTATGTTTAATGTCTTATGTCGCACACACTCGAAGATGTACAAGCGAAAAGTAATAAGTTGGAGGAACAGGCAGGGCAGTGAGGACGGGACTTCCTTCAGGTAAACGTAGAGAAGAAGAAGACAGAGGTGATGAGAATACCCAACTAACAGCAACAACAACAAGCACCAATCACCATCGAGGGGAGAAATCTCTCACGGAAGTTGTCGCTTTCAGCTTTCCACATAGGCAGCATCGTTTCAACTATAGGCGGTGGCGCAACAAATGAGGACGTCAAAGCCAGGATTGGAAAGACAGGCCTTCAATAATCCGTGAAGATCTACTACACTCAGCATGAAGAACGAGATCCAGATTTCCAACACTAAGTCAGTGCTTCTATGTGATGATTGAGAGACTTGGGACGTTACGAAAAGTATTTGCAACAAACTACAGACATTCATCAGCAGCTTCCACCTACACTCACTCGATACTGAAGATCAGATGAGATGGCGAGAAAGAATGAGCAAGAAGGAACTCTGGCTGGTAACGAACCAACCAACGAAGCAAGAACCTAACGCCTAAGAAATATGCAGAAGAAAGTGGAGATGGATTGGATTAGACATACACTGAGAAGACCGTTTGGGGACATCACGCGTCAGGCCAGGCCGTCGAATAGAACCCAAAGAGCAAACGACAAGTCAGACGTTCGAGAGTGACATGGGGATTGGTTGAGGAAGAAATGAAAAATTATGGGTAGTGGTGGAGGCAGGTTTAATAGACTACAGAGACGAGAGTGAAATGGCGACGTGGAAATAATAATAATAAAACACTCAACCTTTAGAAGATATCAAAGAGTGAAAACACCTACGCCACTGTGACCGATTTACAGCTATTTCACTAAGGGTTCCCAACCGTTAATTCCTGTCATTTTGAAGATCTCAGTCAGTCAGGTAGTCTACATCTTCGTGCAAAGTTCAGATCAACAGTCAGGAACTTCACTGACTAGTGTCACGTCTCAGCCCCTCCATCCTGACCAATCTTTCCACCTAATGTAACTTTGTATAGTAATGATGGATAGTGGCTAGCAGAGGAATCCAGGATGCGCAATAACATATGTGGAGGTAGGGAGAGGCTCGGTATGCGTAACAAATGTCTAAGTCATTCAGTTTTAGTTTGTTTATTAGAAATGTCATACAGTGAAACGTTATTCAGTAGACGATACTGTTTCACTCTGATATTCCTAACAAACAGTCTACCAGTGCTTTACTCCTATATTAATGTCCAAGTCATCTCATTCGATGAAGACTCATAACCTTATCAATTGACTTGGCCAGTACCCTTCTCCTGACCTCACGGTGATAGCATCATGTTGCCAGAAATGCTACGAAGATATCTGTGATCAAAACCCAGAAGTCGCTTCATATCTTCTATTTTTAACAGCCGTGTAACACGACAGAATGGGTTGCAGTGTAGTATACTGGTTCTTTGATAGATAGTCGGGTATCTTGCCAGTCGTCACCATAGATGATACCAGTTGGCAAATGCTAGACGGGTCTTCTGTATCCGAGCGAAGAATTCATCATCAGTCACCTCATTCGAGCTTACGTAACTCCCTAGGTAAGTGAAGTTGTCGATACATTCAATCACTTACTTTTCTATCTTCAAACTAGGAGTAGTTGGAGCACACCAGTCTTGGAGCGTCTTCATTTGACGTGTGTCAAAGACAATTTATAAAATCAAATACTTTGCTGAGTAGAACAGTGAATGTTTCCACATAGCATAAATGGGAAATACTAGATTATATGCAAATTTATCTGGTAAGCTAGCTGCAAAAAGAGCGAAACGCAATTTCTACACTTTTCTACTAGTTGACTTTCGATCATGGGGCACGGGTTCGAGGCCCGTTCCACTTATAGAAGTTAGGGAAGCCAGATAGGTAGTATCATTAGCCCTCAGACACAATCAGTATATGGCTTATTGCTGCCTACTGCAAGAATATGCACAGGGTTGCTGAATGGAATCCGAAATTTCAAAACAACACTCAATTGGAAAAAGGCGTACTATACAAAACTTACCAAATAAACATCACATAATTCATACAACCAAAAATTGTAACAAGCAGTTGTAGCAGCAGGGAATTGGAATTCTGTAAATCCTAAATTACACTGGCTCACAGCATTGGCCAATCTTGAAAGAATCCAACGATCAGTACCAGATAGAAGACGATGTGTATGTAATTGATTAAACAGTCTGTTTAAGTCAGTCATATCTGGAGGGATGAAATCTTTGTCTAAGCAATGAAACAGTGCATAACTGAAAAACAAACGGAACACAAATATGGACTTTAGACGCTTAAATGCAATCAACAGATAGCTCCGGAACTAAGTTTCGTACTTGCACTGCAATTATTATTAATTTATTTATTCGTCCCTTGGATTCCTAGTGGAACATAGGGATTCAGTAGCACGTCTCCATTCCACTCTCTTCTCTACAGTCTTTTCAACCTGGCTCCACGATACCCCACAACCTCTCATTTCCTCCTCACACCATCTCCTCCATGTCACCCTCAACTCACACGCCCAACTCGTTGCTTCCCATCTGCGTTCCACTCCAGCAACTCGCCTGACGCGTGATGTCTCCAAACCGCCTTCTCAGTGTATGCCCAATCCAATCCATCTCCTTCCAGTGCTTATTTGTTCAGAGATAGGTTCTTGCTTCGTTGGTTCGTTGCCGGCCAGCCAGCCAGAGTTCCTCCTTGCTTATTCTTTCTCGCCTTCTCATCTGAACTTCAGTAACGAGCCAGTGTAGGGGGCAGTTGTTGATGAATGTCTGCAGTTTGTTGGAAATGCCTTTCGTAACGTGCCAAGTCTCTCAACCATCACATAGAAGCACTGACTTGACTAGTACTAGTGTTGAAATTCCGGATGTTGTTCACACTTTATGCTGAGTGTAGTGTAGTAAATCTCCACACTGGTTTCAGGTTAATGAACGCCTGTCTTGCTTTTCCGGTCCTAACTTTGACATCCTCGTCTGTGCCACCTGTAGTTGAGACGATTCTGCATTACCTAGATAGGTGAAGGAGGCTACTTCCTTTAGGTTTCTCCCGTTCATCGTGATTGGAGCTTGTTGTTGCTGGTGGCGTTGGTTGGGTATCTTCATCACCTCTGTCCTCTCTACGTTCACTTGAAGTTCCATCTTCGCTGCCCTGCGACAAGACATTAGACACAAGTCATCACTGGCGAAATCCAAATCTTCTAGGATCTTTTCCTCAGTTCAGTGTATGCCCATCTTCTCGTTCCTCACTGTTTGTTGCATGATCCAGTCGAGTCGACCACAATCAGGAATATCGTGGGTGATAGTAGACAGCCTTGTTTCACTCGTGTCTTCACTTCATTTCAAATGCACCACTGAGCTTCCCATTGTGAATTACTTGGCATGTGGCGTCTTCATATAGTTGTTGAATGAGGCTGATAAAGGTTTGTGGTACTCCGTAGTGTTGAAGCAGCTGCCAAATTACTTCTCGTCTACATGAAACCGATTCATTCTAACATGTATCTAGACTTCACAACATCTCATGTCAGTAGAAGCGGGTTTAGTCAAATGTCTAAATGATGAAGATAGAAAACTGACTAATCAGTGTAAGGATTTAAACAAAGAAGCGCTAGTCATTAAAAACTACCTTCTATTGTTCATTAAGAAATTTATACGAACACATAAGAAGCAAAATGATAACAGTAATATATGAATAAGAATAGTAGCGACAACACGAGAAGAAATAAGTTCAAAGCTTTTATTGTGTTCCCATATAAGGTAAGAACATCAGAAACTTTGTGTAGGATTCTCAATCATGCCTAGAGTTAGGGTGGCATTTAAGCCTATAAACTTATCTCAGAGATAAGCATTGCCGGCTTGAATATCCGATAGATTCAATTAGGCAAAATAATCTAGCCTATCAAATTCTATACAGTGACTGAGAAGTCAAGTACAAGAGTTGAACTAACCGGTCTGGATCAGTTGGATTAGTGAAACATTGGAATTTAGCTAAATATAGAATGATAGACCCCAATAGGATCAATACTCCAGAAAAATACTCGGCTATTGCAATCAATGCATTAACATACAACCACAAAATAAGGTGGAATAAAGCCACTGTACTTAACAGAGACAGAAAGAAACTGATTACTCAATCTTTGTTCATCAAATCAACACCCAACAATCAATCACTATCAACATAGGACCAGGCATTACTACACAATGGTCCAAGTTGCTGCCACACCCCATATCAGTACATCAAGTAAAAGGGCAGTGAGGTGAAGGATGAAGATAAGACGATTCAGTCGAAAGAAATATAAAGTACGAGAAGAAAGAAAAGAAAAGTGACGAAATGGTGAGATTCGATATAGCGTCGTTAAGATGACGATAATGTGTGTGCGCGATACATCTGTGCCACTCACATCGGTTATCAGCCATATCATCACCTACAGTCACTCTACAACCACTGTTGGTTCCTCTTGTCCCAAGGACCCCACCACACTCCAACCACCTAGTCTGCATCGCCCCACATGGCTCAAAACAACAGTCAAACACTTCATACATTGGTGCCATATCTTAGTCTGGCCATCTCGGACCCTCTTCCAGCCTGCATCTACTTTGACCAACATTGTGTGAAGAGGCAATCGGTGACTGGGCATACGTAGTACGTGTCCCAACCATCTCAATCGATGAATGTTTATAACATCGTTTACTGATTTACCTAAACTCCCTCCCTAAAGCTCTACACCTAACTTCTGCATTACACCCAACACATGTAATAAGAATGATACAACACCAATATATACCAGAGATATGTAAAATTCTACTACCGATAAAAATAAAGAATATAAGGTGATTAGACATCAAAAAGTTTTGTGCTTACACCGATATCAATAATATATCAAGTAGATAATACTACATCATTCATCACAGACAGTTGGGGAATCCATTAAAAATCTTGGAGCACTGGATAATCAGCTGTCTCGTCCTATTATGGGACTCCTCGGCGGTAGGTAATCACGACCCAGCCAGGGGTCGAACTCAGGACCTTCAGGTTTCCCGGCGAACGCGTTAGTCATCCAGCCACTGATGTCAGCCCATGATGAATACTACTTGTAAATTAAAAATCCCCATTCATCTCAAAAATACATTACTCTATAGTGCTCATTAGTGACTTGCTTCGAGATGGATGTCAGGAAGTTCTAATGGGAAGCCGTGACCTGTGGGGTCAACCAGTCGGAAGTGAAGTGGATGCTAACTGAAGGAAGACGTCGGGTGACAGTCGCGCTATGTCGTGAATCGACAGTTAGAAACTGTTAATCACTGAGAACCGACCCAGTAGCTGAATGGTTGACGAGTTCGTCATGAAACCTGAAGGTCCTGAGTTCGACCCCCGGCCAGGTTGTGCATGCGTACTGCTGAGGAATCCCATACTAGGACGAGAGAGCTGACTGTCTAGTGCTCCCAGATTTTTAATGGTTCCCCAAAAATCCTCACTCATCTCAAAAATACATTACTGTAATCACTCACTGTGTGCTGTAATATCAAATAAACAAATCTAATATGGAATAACATTCTACCACCACAGTACCCAAGGTTTACACTTGTATTAATAAATTGGTTATTTCAAAAGATTGTCCAACATGAAAATTATTTCAAATATCGGTGACTAAGACTTTTATAAATCTTCCTGATTAAAAACTTCGCATTGTACAAATGGACAAAGAGAAATCCTATAACACTTACCGTACAGCATTCCACAACTTATTACAAAAGAATCGATAACCTTGAACACGTAAAATATCCAAGTTAATATTCCGTCCTTGAGATGTATAAGCACATAAAGCAAATCTGAGAGCATCTGTACCACATTCAGGTATACCCTTAGGGAAATCTTTCGCCTGTGCTTGACGAGCACGTGTTAATTCATTAGGGTCAAGATTACCCTGTTCCAATTGTTTTTGTAAATCTATGTTAAAGAGAATAAACAAAATGAATTTAGTTATTGTTACTAAATGACAAGTTTATGATGTCTAGTTCTGCAAGGAAATGATGAACAAAACATTTCTTTTTAGTTTCACAAAAGTTCCCTTCATTTGACAGCATAATTTAGGTACTATAACCCAAGTCGAAGGAAAAACATCCATTCTGGACTCCACTGCTAGGCACTACTGTTTGTCAAGGCACTCGACTTCTCAACAGTAGACCATGGGTCATCATCATCATCATTATCAACATAGAACCAGGCATTACTGCGTAACGGTCCAACTTGCCACACCTCATATCAGCACATCAAGTAAAAAGGTAGTGAGGTGAAGGATGAAGATAAGTGAATGCAGTCAAAAGAAATATAAGGTACGAGAAGAAAGGAAAGACGAGTGACAAAATGGTGAGATTCGGTATAGCGTTGTTAAGATGAGGATAATGTGTGTATACATCTGCGCCACTGACTTCGGTTCTCAGCCATATCACCTAGGGTCTCCAACCACTGGTTCCTCTTGTCCCGTGGACCCCAACCACCTAGTCTGCATCGTCCTACATGGCTTAAACCAACAGTCAGAGACTTCATAAATTGGTGCCATGTTTCAGTCTGGCCATCTCAGGCCTTTTTCCAGCCTGGACCCACCTCAGCCAACATTGTGTGACGAGGCAATCGGTGACTAGGCATACGTAGTACGTGTCCCAACCATCTCAGTCGATGAAGGTTCACAACCTCGTCGACTGACTTACCTCTTCTCCCCAAAACTCTACACCTAACTTCTGCATTACTCACATGGTGACACCACGGAATACGTCCTATATTACGAAGGCAACGGTGGTCAAACACTTGAAGCCTTTTTGTATCCTCCACTTTCAATGGCCATGTTTCACAGCCATATAGTAGAACAGAGCGGACTGCTGTGCAGTACACGCGACCCTTAATAGACAAACGGATATCACGGTGGCGCCATTGGTGGCGCAAATTGGCAAAAGCCAATCGAGCCTTTTGTATCCGTGCAGAAATCTCATCGGCAACTAACCCACCATGGGTTCAAACTCAGCTCCACTTATAGAGGTTTAGGTATCCAGGTAGTATCACTAGCCATAGGCAGACAAGATAAGGAAAGTTTACAAGGTCATGCTAGCTAATAGAACAAAATCCCGTCGACTCAAAACGATAAATGAATCATCCTTTGGGCTTATTGTAAGTATGTTCACACCCGGTACGACGGTTAAATCAGCAATAATTGAAAATCAGTCTGTCTTTCATGTATATACAGTGTGATTTTTACCGATTTCTAATTCATATTTACCACTTGTATGAATCGCCCTTTTCTGACTGCCTGATATCTGTTTAAACATGTTATTATACTAGGATGATCGATTTCCAAATGACATACATATTGCACGGTCCATGCTGAAATATCTCACAGCTAAGTATCTATTCCACTGTTGTCTGATTGTGGTGTCAACAAGTTTTTCCCTGAAAACCATCCCTCAGCAAAGATCGCAAGGTGTGAACTCTGATAAAGAAAGTGTCATGAACTACAGAAAGATACTACTACTAAATGACTTGAATAGTTTGAAACAACTCAGGCTGATCACCTATGAGAAATGTTGACGTGGACCGTGCAATTTATAAATGATTAGTAAATTGGTCATCTTATTTCAGCCATAGCCATTCATGCAAGTCAGCTAGCCAGACTCACGTGATCTGAACAATTCGCCTCTGTGAGCTGAGTTTCTCCGCGAACCATCCCATCATCATCATCATCAATATCAACATAGAGCCAGGCATTACTAAACAACGGTCCAAGTTGCCACACCTCATATCAATACATCAAGTAAAAAGGCAGTGAGGCGCAAGATCAAGATAAGAAAATTCAGTCAAAAGAAATATAGAGTAGTGAAAGAGAGAAAGGAAGAATGAGAAAGTGGTGAGATTCGGTATAGCATCGTTAACATGAAGATAATGTGCGTGGGGATACATCTGTGCCACTGGCATCGGTTTTCAGCCATGTGACCACCTAGAGTCAGTCTCCAAACACTGTTGGTTCCTCTTGTCCCACGAACTCCACCCCGACCGGCTAGTCTACATTGCCCCACATGGCTCAAACCAACAGTCAAACACTTCATGTATTGATGCCATGTTTTAGTGTGATCGCCTCGGGCTTTTCTCCAGCCTAAACCTACTTCGACCAACATTGTGTGGCGAGGTAGACGGTGACTAGGTATACGTAAAACATGTCCCAACCAGCCATCTCAGTCGACGAAGGTTAACAATCGTGTCAACTGACTCAACTGACATCTTCTCCCTAAAACTCTGGGCCTGACATCTGTGTTACTTACATGGTGACATTATGGAATACGGCCCAAATACTATGAAGACAACTGTGGTCAATCACTTAAGGCCTTCTCATGCTTTCCACTTTCAATGGTCATGTTTCACAACCGAGAACACCTCTGATGAGGTCTGTCCAGAACGAGTGAAACAGCCGTCCGGTGTCTAGATTGCTCTGATCTCGCCGGTAAAATCTACAGACCACCCAGAGTAGTTTTTAACTACCCAAGTTGTTCAGTAACATGATTTGTTACGTCGAAAAGAGACAAATGGACAAATTCAGTATAGACCCTCACACACAAGTGCATCACCTCAAGTTGCCATAGTTCACAGTATTAAACAAAGAACAAATTGATAGAAAAAGACCGATATCAAGTAGAAGTTGGATGAGACAATAAACAGTCTGAAGATAATGGTTAGTGTGAATAGTCAAGTTTTAGAAGATGCCAAGGATTGAATACGTCTGCGCCAGTGACCAGTTTTTAGCCATGCCACTAAGAGTCTGCAACCAATGATTCCATTCGTCTCGAGGACCCCGTATAGTCAGGTAGTCTACATCTCCCTCACACGGCTAAAAGCAAAAGTCAAGGACTAGTCCCACATTTTGGTCCGGCTACGCTTAACCATTTCCATACGTGATCCAGATTCGAAATAGTATGGCACGTTGAGGTTACACGAACCTTCTGTACCCGAGGTGAAATTTCATCAGCAACTAGCCCATTGGGGTTGACACAACTCCCCAGGTAAATGAAGTGGTCGACATACTCAACCACTTCACTCTGTCAATAAACCGAGAATACGTGTAGCAGACAAGTGCGAAACGCACGCCAAACACACTCAAACTTCTGCTCAACGCTTTCAGAAGACCCTACATTTTGTTAGCGTCCTCATTATGTCATTTAATGAACTCTCCTCTACGGTGTATGAAAACACACATAAATGCAATAAAAATAATCGAGTTTTGAACTATCATACTTGAGTTACAAAATTACTGGATCCACAGAACATTTTCTCCACCAGTCGGCGTTAGAAAGAACTAAACAAAAAGAACTTCGTTTATGGCTTACTATCTGGAAACCACTGTTCTTTGATTTTCAACCGCTAGAATACGTCAAAACCGCTTTCTTGAATGTCGTTCAGGAGCAGATAGCAATTACTTATGATTATATATTTTGTCCCTTGAGTTCCTAGTGGAACATAGGGATTCAGTAGCACGTCTCCATTCCACTCTCTTCTCTACAGTCTTTTCAACCTGGCTCCACGATACCCCACAACCTCTCATTTCCTCCTCACACCATCTCCTCCATGTCACCCTCAACTCACACGCCCAACTCGTTGCTTCCCATCTGCGTTCCACTAGAGCAACTCGCCTGACGCGTGATGTCTCCAAACCGCCTTCTCAGTGTATGCCCAATCCAATCCATCTCCTTCCAGTGCTTATTTGTTCAGAGATAGGTTCTTGCTTCGTTGGTTCGTTGCCGGCCAGCCAGCCAGAGTTCCTCCTTGCTTATTCTTTCTTGCCTTCTCATCTAAGCTTCAGTAACGAGCCAGTGTAGGGGCAGTTGTTGATGAATGTCTGCAGTTTGTTGGAAATGCCTTTCGTAACGTGCCAAGTCTCTCAACCATCACATAGAAGCACTGACTTGACTAGTACTAGTGTTGAAATTCCGGATGTTGTTCACACTTTATGCTGAGTGTAGTGTAGTAAATCTCCACATTGGTTTCAGGTTAATGAACGCCTGTCTTGCTTTTCCGGTGCTGACATTGACATCGTCGTCTGTGCCGCCTGTAGTTGAGACGATGTTGCATTGCCTAGATAGGTGAAGGAGGCTACTTCCTTTAGGTTTCTCCCGTTCATCGTGATTGGAGCTTGTTGTTGGTGGTGGCGTTGGTTGGGTATCTTCATCACCTCTGTCTTCTCTGTATTCACTCGAATTCCCGTCTTCGCTGCACTGCCCTGCCTCTTCTGTCAACTTGTTGGTTTTCGCCTGCAGTTCTTCAAGTTTGTGCGAGAAGACATTAGACACAAGTCATCACTGGCAAAATCCAAATCCTCTAGGATCTTTTCCGCAGTCCAGCGTATGCCCACCTTCTCGCTCCTCACTGTTTGTTGCATGATCCAGTCGAGTCGACCACAATCAGGAATATCGTGGGCGATAGTAGACAGCCTTGTTTTACTCCTATCCTTACTTCAAAGGCATGAATGAGATTTCCATTGTGGATCACTTGACATGTGGCGTCATCATTTAGCTGTTGAATGAGGTTGATAAAGATTTGTGGTATTCCGTAGTGTTCAAGTAGCTGCCTGCCAAGTTATGTCTCGGTTGACGCTGTCGAAGGCCTTTACAAAGTCGATGAAATTGAGGTAAAGAGTTGACTGCCATTCTATACTCTATTCTATGATGATGCGTAGCGTACCGTTGCAATTTGGTCCACACATGACTTGTACTTCCTGAATCCAGCGCATCCTTTAGTCTCTTCAGGATGATGCGGCTTAATATTTTGCTTGGGATGGACAGCAGCATGATTCCTCGCTACTTCTTGCAAAGACTTAGGTCTCCCTTCTTCCAATCGGCAGGTACCTTCCTATTCTTCCAGACCTTCTGCAGTAGTGGTGTGAGCATGTCCGCTGTTGTCCCTGCGTCTGCTCTGTGCTTCTGGCGGGATTCCATCTGGTCCTGCTGCTTTCCTGCATATCAGCAGTTTTATGGCATTCAGGACTTCTGCTTTTATCGGAGGGCCTGTGTTAACTGGTAGGTCTGTGGCTGCAGGTGGTATTTCTAGACGAAGTGCAGGTGGTGGTCGATTCAAGAGCTTTTGAAGTGGTCAGCCCATTGTTTCTTTTATTTCTCTACTTTGGTAACTAAATTTCCTTCATCATCTTTTATTGGTTTCATCTGCGTTGATATCTTCCCAGACAATAACCTGGTTATTTGATACAATGTTGTCAAGTCTCTCCTACATCCAGCCTGTTCTGCTTCACTTGCTAATGTGTCGTGGGAGTGTCTTTTGTCTTTCCGCGCACTCTTCTTCACTTCTTTGTCCAGTGTTTTATACATTGTACTCAGTTCCTCCTCTCTTTGAGCATCCTTGCACTGGTTCAACTTCTGCTTCACCATTTTCCTTTCCCTGCTCTATCAGCTTACATGTGTCCATCGAGATCCATTCCTTATCTTCTTTCTTCTTCCTTCCTAATATGGTATGCAGGTTTCTTTCTAAATAGCTTGCAAAGAGTTCCAGTGCTCATCCATACAGCTTTCTTCAGGGATGTTGCTCGATATCTCCCATTTTGTTGTGATGGCTGACGTGATTTCCTTTCTAGTTTCGTCCTTCAGTTTCTGTTCTGGGAGTTGAACTTGAACTGTAGTCTATCACCAACTTCTCTGAAAGCCATCAACTTTATTCTGAAGGTTCCTTACACAAGATAGTGAGTGGTGTGAATCTACATCTGCTCCCTTTCTTCATCTTGTGTCAAGTGAGCTTCGTATCCACTTTCTTCACATTGAGATGATGTTGATCTGATTTTTAGTGTGTCCATCAGGTGAAATCAAATCCATGTCGCTTTGTGGATATCTTTGTGCTTGAACACAGTGCCTCCAATCACCAAATCATTGAAGGCGCAGAAGTCTCCAAACATTTCTCCATTCTCGTTCATTCCACCAAGTGCTTCTCGACCCATGATTAGTTCTCTTCCTGTGTTGTCCGCTCACAGTTTGGCATTCACGTCGCCCATTAGAATTTTGATGTTGTCAACTGAGGTCTTGTCCAGTGTTGATTGAAGTTGTCTGTGGAATTCCTCCATTATTTGTAGGTGCATAGCGTAGCATTGAATGATTGTGACTTTCCTTCCTCTTGAGTTGAATCTTGATATCATGATCCTACAGGAGGAGATAGGTTCCCACTGCATGAGAGCCTTCCATGCTCTCGTGACATCATGATAGCCACTCCATAACTCAGTGTGCTCATGGTTGTTGTCTGGGTGACAATATCGGAGTAGATTATTGATTATCTAGTTGACAGTTTGGAGAGTCCACTTCCATTCCATCTGCTTTCGAGGATTCCTAGTACTTCAATGCGATACCTTCTCATCTCGTTTGCAGTATGCTAGGTTCATACATGGTGCGCACATTCCATGTCCCCACGTTTACTTTTGATTTCATCGAGAGAAGACACATCGACCAATTGGCTTCCTGAAGGCTTTCAGCAACCAGCGTCATTTCACCTCTCCGATTCGAGCAAGGAATAATTATGTTTTTATTTTTTACATTTTGTTTGTGCTTTGAAGTTTCTGTAGAGGTTGGATTAGTTTTACGGGGTAAGGTTGTGAGCCTTGTGCCCAACCATCCCTCTTTACCCGGGTTTAGGACCAGCTAGTAACTAGTGAACTAGGTAATCAGGCGAAAATCAGACAATCTTCAGTAATTCCATGGCATTTAAGCCATTATCCGTATCCTAAGTTAATATGTGTGTAATAATATTTGCATCTTAGAGTATCATTTATAGATTCATAGTATAAAATGGGGAGAAAAATGGATGAGGAATTTACCGTCTAACGATATTCCGTTGATCACATCGACTGGATCAATTGCATTTCCCAAAGATTTACTCATCTTTTTACCATGAGCATCTCGAACCATAGCATGTAGGTAGACTGTATGAAAAGGTAGCTGTCCCATTAATTTTAAACCGATCATCACCATACGCGCTACCCAGAAGAATAAGATATCATGACCAGTTTCTAGTAAACTTCCTGGATAATAAGCTTTTAAATCAGCTGTTTGATCCGGCCAACCAAATACAGAAAATGGGAATAATTGAGATGAGAACCAAGTATCCAATACATCACTGTCTTGTTGAAGAGTCAAGCATTCTGAAGAACAATTGAATTTGTTACACGCTTTCTGAAGTGCTTCATCATATGTGCGCCCAACCACCCATGAATTATGATCTGCAGGCTGTGAATAAATATGAGTATAAACATAATGCATGGCAGGAAGCCTAGTTTATAGTGGATGATGATGAAAATTTGGATCCCAGTCGGATTTAAACCAGCTACTACTCAGTTTTCGGCTCAATGCTCTACCGACTGAGCTACGAGCATTCGGGCAAGAAACCCGGTGGTCGCTGGTTCGAATCCGGCCGCGGATCTAAATTTGCATCTCACCTTCAGTCATCACCCAGTATAAATACTAGTCTGCCAAACTACGGCTATCTCAGATAGTCTAACTTATTCAGATTTCTTAAAATTTCCAAGAAATAGAAAATTAAAATATGATGTTGTAAATTTTAATTATGCGAATGCCTCTAACGTATGTACACGGAGATTCAGTAGCCTAATGGATAACGCTGTGATGTTTGAAGTGATGAACGCTGACTTCGAGTCCTGGTTGGAACGACACTGAGCTGTAGGTACATTCATCCAGCTCGCGAGTCTCATATAGGACGAAACACGTACTCTGGATTCCACTGCTAGGCATCAACCAAGTAAATAACATCAATATGTAAACAGTGTTTTAAGTGGTACCCCATTTACTACTGACATTGCATTTAACTTGTTCAAACAATCCTTCATTTTGGAACTACAGAAGCAATCAATCGAAGTAATATTCAAGCAGTCTGAACAAATAATACTTCCCCAGGGGTTGAGCTTGATCGGAGCACCTTTCATTCACTCTATATAATTTAATACGCTTGAGGTTCAACAGATCTTATCCTTTTTTCTGGCAAACTTCTTATACTGTTACGCTTTTAAAATCCTTATCAAGGAATTCTTTGCTAATCGATATCATGTGAAGGGAATGCTCCTAGAAAGCGAATATTCAGTGCTTACAAGTAATTTGATCGATGAAAGGCATATGCAAATCAGTTCGAAATAGGGTTTATACTGATTCGATGCATCATGAAATGAATCACTAAAAATGGTGTTATTTAATCGACACAAAGAAGAACAAGGACATACACTTACAATGGCGAAATTGTCTGAATTTAAAATACTTGAAATTTTGCATGCTCAACTGAAACAAGATATGAGTCTATTCGAGCAGACGATAACTAGGAGAAATTGGATTTTATGACAATAGATACAAATTGAATTTCAAGTTGTTATTCATCGTAGACTTGACATCAGTTGGAGGACAGCTGTGAGCTAACAGAAGTTGGAAATACGGACGATTGGATTCTGAACAAGTGGCTAGCTCGATGGTAACGTGCTGGCCACGGAACCTGAAGGTCGCGGGTTCGATCCCTGGCGGGGTCATGGGTGCGCACTGCTGCGGAGTTCCATACTAGGACTAATTCAAGTAATTTATTAGGTTGTAAAGAAATATTACTGTGAGAAGTGAACTGTATTGGGATTTGATAGAAGGATGCTTTCACGAATGGATTATTTACATGTGTCTTTAAATAGATACAATCTGAATCATTATAAAGGGAATATTAAAATGGTGCTGATATATATATTTTTTATGGTAAAAATAGAGCTCTTATTGTCATAAAAACTTGACTGTACTCTAATATTGGAAAATTTTATATAATCAAAAGATAATAATCTAATCGACATCTAGACAAGAAATTTTGTGTTCTAAGCTAAAAGCCACAACAAAAAACACTAATCACTATCAACAGGAGAAACTTGAAGGAAGTAGACTCTTCAACCGACCTTACTAGACAGCATCGTCTCAACTACAGGCGGTACAGACACAGACGAGAACGTCAAAGCCAGCCAGGATCGGAAAGAGAGCAAGACAGGCGTTCATTAACCTGAAACCAGTGTGGAGATTTTCTGCACTACACTCAGCATAAAGTGTGAACAACATCCGGAATTTCAACACTAGTACTAGTCAAGTCAGTGCTTCTATGTGATGGTTGAGAGACTTGGCACGTTACGCAAGGCATTTCCAACAAACTGCAGACATTCATCAACAACTGCCCCCTACACTGGCTCGTTACTGAAGTTCAGATGAGAAGGCGAGAAAGAATAAGCAAGGAGGAACTCTGGCTGGCTGGCTGTCTGTCAACGAACCAACGAAGCAAGAACCTATCACTCAACAAATATGCATTGGAAGAAAGTGGAGATGGATTGGATTGGGCATACACTGAGAAGGTCGGCTGGGGACATCATGCACCAGGCCAGGTGGTCGAGTTAAACCCGGATAAGAAGCAAGGAGTTGGGTGTTCGAGGTGAGGGTGACATGGAGGAGATCGTGTGAGGAAGGAAGGAGAGCTTCTGGGCTGTCGTGGAATCAGAATGCACTGGAGACGTGCTACTGAAGCCCTATGTTCCATTAGGAACCTAAAGGACGAATAATATATAATCTAATCTAATCAAGAACCACTTGGGTTACTTCAACAGACTGTTTTGTATAGTAAAAGTAATTACTGAATAGTTTTAATTCTATTTTAAAATGGTAATTATATATGTTATACAAAGAAACAGAATTATCTATACAATTTATGGGTGTTTCTTCGAAAAACATAACGCAGTCAATAATACTGTTTCTTACAAACAAACTCAAACAGAAGTATAACCCATCATAATGACAAAGTTTTATATGTTATATTAACTAGACAGTTTTCTTTAAACTTGAAGAATATATGAACAATTTGTATGTTCATGCCCTAGGCGATGAACCTTACCAATTATATAAGGGTTCATATCATACACTACATGTTGACGCAGGCCGAAGTAAGTAGAGTGAAATGTAGACTCATGAAGTACCGTATGAGTGTTGAATACTTAAGGCAATGGGGCCACAGCTACATTATTGGTTAAGATAACCGACAAAAGTGTATTATTCGATAATTAATAAAAAAAACCTAAATGAAAACCTTAAAAATCAATAAACAAAGGTTAGCAACAATGCTTTTATTACAAACACTCAAAAAAAACCTCAATCAAATTGGAATTAATCATATAAGATTGTAGTCAATCAGTTACCAGTAATCCCGTTACATTTCTCAGGGAAATATACATACTAACTAATTTCTAGGAATAGGGAAGTATTACGTAAATCGATTTGAAGATTAAAAGATGTTGAATAGCCAAAAAATGTGAAGATTTTCAAATGGTAGTAGAAATTTACACTTTCAAAGTATGTAGACACTTATGGTGTAGTTTCAGGTTTATTTCATGGACTGACATTAGCTGGAAAATTTTGAAGCATTGGATAGCTATATCGTCATGGTATGTGAATATCTTCAGCAGTACACACTCACGAACCCACAAGAGATCGAATTCAGGTTTCGCGGAGAACGCATCGATCATTCAGTCACTGAGTTGGAGTTCAATGGTTTAAAGTCTCCTACTTCTATCGATTCGCGATATGTAGCAACTATCCACCAAGGTCTTTAGTAGGCAACCTATTCACTTTCGACTGATTGACCCTACAGGTCAACGCTTTGCATTAGAACTTAGAGATATCCATCTCGAAGCATATCACTAATAAGCGATATACAGTAATCTAGTTTGAAGTTTATAGGGATTATTGCTTTTTTTAAGATAGTATTCAGCACAGACCGACGTAAGTTCAAAGACCATTGAAATACTACCAAGGGGATAATGATAATGGCTGCAATATAAACATGGTACTGAGAACAAACGAAAAAAAGAAAAACTGGATAAAGAACCTTATATCGTACATCTAGAACTTGGAAATTTTCTTGACTGGATTGACGAATAGAAATATGATAGGCTGGAATACGATGACCCCACCAAAGTTGTCGAGAAATACACCAATCATGACAATCTTGCAGCCAACTATTCCATGTACGAATGTGAAAATTTGGAATAATACGTAAACGACCTTCAGCAACCTAATATGAATATTAAAAAAATGGTAGTATTTCAATATTTTCAATAAATTTAGTTGCATCATAGCAAAAAAATGATCAAACACCTTATTTTTACCAATAGTGTTTGTAACTGTCATTTAAATCATGTAAACAAGAATGATGACGAGATTCGACTATATAGGATCACAGTGGTTTCAGTGAGAAATGATTTTCTGCTTTGGCTATCACTTTATCAACTTCTGACAAAAAACTGTTGTTTATAGATATCAAAAGTCAATTTTGAGATAACCCACTGCTTAACCTAGTTTTAGCATCTATTGATACCCACCAATAAGGTGTGTGGTGTCACCTTCAGCGGACTGATAGACAACTTACATTCTACTGACGACTTGATGCTGTCTGTATACCTTGATGATGAGTTCATAGTCTATCGATCGATAAAAAAGAACAACATACTGTAGTATTGCAGCAATAAGCTTATTTAGTTACACAGCCACAATGATAAACTTCCATCAGTACTAGAACATACATAAGGCTTGATAGCTACATCAACTTCTATTCGATAAACAATTCCCGTACAAAATAATTCCCTTTCAACCTTCCACAGTTCTAGGGCACATCACAACTACTAGTCAACGCACTGGACACCTGTTTCTTTCTAGTATGGCACTCCTCACCAATGTGCACCCATGATCTCACCAGGAATCGAGCCCAGAGCCTTTAGGTTCCACAGTCAGCACGTAACCATTGTTCCATTAGAAGCAAAACATATCCTATATATCCTAAGACAACTTATTTAATGTCAAAACTTGCTTGAGCAAATGCACCCAATGGAAGTACTTGATAGTAGTTGACATCATCATCTTTATCAATATCAACACAGCATGAGGCATTATTGCGAACGGCTAGAGATACCACATCACATATCATCACAATAAGTAACAAAGCAATAAGATGAAAAAATAAAGAAGAGTTGGTCGAAAGTAGTAGAAGAGATGAAGGAGGAATGAGAAAATCCTTAACTCAGTATAGCGGTCAAGAGGAATATGAAGTGTGGATACATCTGCCCCACTGACAACGATTCTAAGCCATATCATATAGTCTCCAACCGCTGGTTTCTGTTATCACGTCGATCCTAACCGGGTTACTCTGAATGGCCTTACAAAGCCCAGAGTAACACTCAAAGACTGCGTGCAATGGTGCCGTGCTTCAGTCTAACCCCTTTGAGCCTTTCTTTTATACATTTATTCAACCAAAAAAATACACTTGGGGAAAAAATAATATTCGATCAGACGACAATGGATGGTGACTGCGCTACATCATAAACAAAAACTTGGAAAATCGAAATACTGGACTTTAGCTTAATGGGTAATTTGAATGCCACAATTTTTGAAGATCTTTAAACCAACTCTTTTAAGAGGTCATGGGCGAAAAACTCCAAAGGAGACTGAAACTAATACGAACTGGTTCCTAATGGTTTTTTAAGTGATGACCAATCTTGGTGATAACTGATTCGCCAGGTCTCTTATAACTCATAGAGACAAAAATGAGGAATTGAGCTACCAACTAAAGAGAATTTGATCAGATGATAGTTTGTCTTGGAAAAACACAAATCAATACCTACGTATGCCAACTAGCATATCGTTCCGTCTGATGATAAGCCCAAAAACATCTACGATCCCAGCAAGAACTTGAGTAAGAAGTTTACGAGGGTTAATCAAATGGCAATTTACACAATAAAAACATTGATACCAGATAAATACAGTGGAAAATTATCATTCTTGAAGGGAAATTAAACTATCTGAAGTTAGTAGGATAGGCGACTTGAAAGGGATAGAAGATAAGTACACTGAATAAAGTTTTGATGTAACTCTGATGGCCACTTGCTATTCAGCGTGTGCACACGATTGATGCTTATAAAATCCACAGTCCTAAGAGCTCATTAGTGATGAAATGCATAGAAAAAAAGTTAAATACAAACGCCCCGGTAACTGGATAACAAACAGACAGATAAAATCAACGTAGAACCGCATACTCACCACAAGTTATTACACTTAAGACTAGTGTACAAAGAAAAAGTGAGCAGAAGAGAAGAATATGTCAGAATAAATAATTTGATGATAATGGTCGACGCAAATATTCAACTGATTTCCAGACATGTCACCAAGAGTCCTAAACCGCTGATTCCTTACGTCTCGAGGACCCAAATCAGGCAGTTTATATCTTCCAACACGACACAGACAAACAGCCAGAAACTTCATGGACTAGATGAATAGGTGACACAGAATCGCCTAAGGTAAACAAGGAATGAAATCGATTAGTTTCTAGATGCCTACATACCTGAAGCACGAGTAGCACTGAACAGTTCGATACACATCTGTTTGAAATGACACTCCCTATAGTGGGGAGATTTCCTAGTTTAAAATGCGGTAACAATTATGACGCTTTAAAAATTACACTATAGAATGAAATTCTATACACTGAAATGTGAAATGCGCATTAAGTGAGGAGAAGAAAGGAGGAAAGTAATAAAACGAAACAAAATTTAAGCTTACAAAGTAATAATACAATCAGGGGACACTGAGTTATCTATCCAACGATTATAATGCTATTGAATCCGAAGAAATCCAAATGCAAACTAACCTCTTTCATAGCTTCATTGGCCATTTCTTGACATCGAAGATACCATTGAGGTTTTAAAAGAGGTTCAACAACATCTTTACTCCGAGAACAAATGGGTACCACCATAGGATTGTCCTTTTCACCTCTGTAAAGACCTAATTCATCGAGAGCTTTGCGAACAGCTTCTCGAGCAATGAATCTTTGAAGTCCTGAAAAAGTATATATACATAATACAGTAAAAAAATACTCACTAGAAGAAAATTCTATCAGCTCAGAAAGATGGAATCAACGTAGAACCTGGCACACAATCACATCCGCTAGAAGAAGAGGGATATCAAAGTAGACATTGTTATGTGACAGACAGATTACCAGTGAAAATGATCAAGTTTTAGAAGACGTCAAAGTGTAAATACATCCGCGTGATTGCAACCGATTTTCAGCCATGCCACTAAAAGTAATCAAATACTGACTAATTTTGTCCCAGAGACTCCAGTCAGGTAATCTACATCACTCCAAACGGGTCAGAGCAACAGACAAAGACTTCATCAACTAATGTCACATTTTGGTCTGGCTACGCTGAACTCCCTTCCAACTTAATCCAACTTCCCCTAACAGGTAGATGGTGGTTCGGCATGCATAACACATATTCAAGCCATCTCAGTCGACTAAGGTTCACAACCTTATCAATCGACTTCATCATCATCATCATCATCAATATCAACATAGGACCAGGCATTACTACACAATGGTCCAAGTTGCCACCACACCTTATATCAGTACATCAAGTAGAAAGGTAGTGAGGTGAAGGATGAAGATAAGAGAATGTAGTCAAAAGAAATATAAAGTATGAGAGGAAAGAAACGAGAAATGACAAAATGGTGAGATTCGATATAGCGTCGTTAAGATGACGATAATGTATGTGCAGGATACATTTGTGCCACTCACATCGGTTCTCAGCCATATCATCACCTACAGTCACTCTACAACCACTGTTGGTTTCTCTTGTCCCAAGGACCCCACCACACTCCAACCACCTAGTCTGCATCGCCCCATGTGACTCAAAACAATAGTCAAACACCTCATACATTGGTGCCATATCTTAGTATGGCCATCTCAGGCCTTTCTCCAACCTGCACCTACTTTGACCAACATTGTGTGAAGAGGTAATCGGTGACTGGGCATACGTAGTACGTGTCCCAACCATCTCAATCGACGAAGATTCATAACCTCGTCAACTGATTTACATCTACTCCCTAAAACTCGATACCTGACATTTGCGTTACTCACGTGGTGACACCACGGAATACATCCTATACTACGAAGACAACAGTGGTCAAATACCTGAAGCCTTCTCATGTCTTACACACTCAATGGCGATGTTTCACAGCCATACAGTAGAACAGAGTGGACTGCTGTGCAGTACACGCGACCATTAATAATAGACAAACGGATATTACGGCGGCGCCATAGGTGGTGTAAATTGGCAAAAGCCAATCGTGCAGAGATTTCATCGGCAACTGACCCGCCGGGGCTGATCAATCGACTTGCCTTAATACAAAACAGACAATGGTACGCATTGTAAGACTAATACTTGAGACTTTAAAGCTTCACCATACATTCGCATTATAAGCTGAAAATCGGATTCATTATGACAAACACCTGCTTTCACTTTGGTCATTAACGTGTACTGAAACTTCAACTGAACAAAGAGAACTTATCAGTTCAGATTATACAAGTTTTGAGTGAATTTCTATTCTTCTCACATGCTTTTTTTTTCTTTTGTAGAAAACCACTTATCTTTCAGTCACACGATAAGTAAGAACACGAAATCAAGGCGTCAGTATACATCTTAAAATTATGTTGTATGTGATCTCTCATCCAGTAACACTCAGCATTTCACCAATTCACACAGTAAACTTTGAATTAGGCACGAAAATGTTCATCCTGGAGTAGCTTCAAAGAATAAAACTTATTTGACAGTTTTTTGAATTCATATAGCAGGACCAGATGGGATCCCTCTAGAAGCATTGAAAACAGACACGGTGACACCACTACCGCAGAAAGTTTGGAAAGAAGAGAAGGTGCCTGCCGATCGGAAGAAGGGCTCTCTTATCAAATTTCTAAACAAGGAAGACCTAAGTCTCTGCAAGAAATGTCGTGGAATCATGCTCCTGTCCACACCAAGTAAAAGATTAAGCCACATCATCCTGGAGAGACTTGAAAACATGCTCTGGATTCAAAATTACAACCAGAACAGGCTGTTGGCTCCACGAAAAATAAATCATGTACCGATCAAATTGCAACACTACGCTACACATTATCATAGAACAGAGTAGAGAATGCCAGTCAACTCAACTTCATCCACTTTGAAAAGGCCTTGAACAGCGTCGAACAAGAAGTAATTTGGAAACTGCTTCAACACTATGGTTTTAGTGCCACAAACGTTTATCAACCTCATTCAACAGCAGCTATATGCCCTATGATGCTACATGCAAAGTGATTTACAAGGGAAATCTCAGTGACGCCTTTGAAGTGAACACAGGTCGGTAGGTAAGACAAGGTTGCCTACTATCACCGATGATTTCCCTGATTGCAGTCAACAGGACTGGACTGGACGGGATCATGCAACAAACAATGACGAGCGAGAAGAGGGGGGTACGCTGGAACGCGGAAAAGAACCTAGAAGATTTGGATTTTGCCGATCATAATCTATGTCTAGTGTCGCAAAAATTCAAAGATCTACAGGCGAAAACTAACAAGTTGACAGAAGGGGGAGGCAGAGAAGACGGGACTTCAAGTGAACGTAGAGAAGATGGAGGTGATGAAGATACCCAACCAACAACAACAACAGGCACCAGTCACTATGAATGGGAGAAATTTAAAGCAAGTCGTCTTTTTCACCTACATACCTACCTACCTAGGCAGCATCGTTCCTACTACAGGCGGCGGCACAGATGAGGATGTGAAAGCCACGATCGGAAAGATAACAAGACAAGCCTTTCCTCATTAATCTGTGGAGATCTAATGCACTCCACTCAGCATGTGGTACAAGATCCAGATTTCCAACACCTAGTCAGTCAAGTCAGTGCTACTGTGTGACGGTTCAGAGACTTGGCACGTTAAGAAAAGCATTTCCGACAAAATGCAGACATACACCAACAGCTGCCGCCTACGCTCACTCGATACTGAAGATCAGATGAGATGGCCAGAAAGAATGAGCAAGAAGGAACTCTGGCTGACAATGAACCAACCAATAATCTATCGCCCAAGAAATATGCAGAAGAAAGTGGAGATGGATTCGACATACTCTGAGAAGACCGTTCGGGGACATCACGCCAGGTCAGGCAGTCGAGTGGAATTCAAAGGGGAAATGATGAGTTGGGCGGTCGAGTATGACATAGAGATGGTATGAGGAAGAAATAAAAGGTTAAGGGTAGCCATGAAGCCAGGTTGAAAAGACCGCAGAGAACAGAGTGAAATGGCGACGTGCTACTGAAGCCCCATTGTTCCACTAGGAATCCAAAGGAAAATAATAATGAATTCATATGTCTGATATATTTCATTTTTGCTTCCATCTACTCGAGACGATATCGAATAAGACTGGAAAAGGAAAGAAACTTAGAACTGGTAGGAAAAAAAAATCAAAAGAATGTTAAGAAGTTATTTTTGATATCGATATGACTTTAACTAGCGATATACTTTTGAATACTTCATCATTTTGTGCTTAGTGATTGAGTTCTTCATTTTCAGACTGCAGAACACATTCTGAACATTCTGTGAAGCTTTTATCCAAGTTATTAACTTTAAAAAATAGAATATCAACCACTTTTTCAATGTTTAAAGTTAAAGTTTATGACAAACAATTTTCATTATCGAAGGTAATCAATAGACGAGTAGATGAAATCAACATGGAAAAGATGTGAAGCGGTTCAAGTCATCATGCTTCATCGCAGCATGTAATAGAGATATCAACGTAGACAAAGATGTACAAGAGGAAATAGAATTTAAAAATAATGAAGGTGAGTGAATATGTTCAAGTTCAGTAAGACATTGAAGAGTGGATTCAACATGCATCATTGCGATCTAGCTAACTAATAGATATTTACAATTATTTGCATAAAGGATAATTGAGACTAGAATTTACCTGCAAACCTAGAACCAGCAGCAGACGTCATCAATCCATCTTCATCAATCACTGTTATAGTTGGTAATGAATGCCTTTTCCCAGCTTCCCAATCATTATGATCATGAGCAGGTGTTAATTTCACTGCACCAGTCCCAAAATTTGGATCAACAAATGTATCACCAACAATCGGAATTATTCTCTCCGGTATTAATGGATGTTTAATTGAACGACCAATCAAGTGTTTATAACGATCATCATCAGGGTGAACAGCGACTGCTGTATCACCCAACATTGTTTCAAGTCGTGTGGTGGCAACAACAATTTCAGTCTCTGATCCACCTTTATCAGGATCTGTAAAATGGAGGAAACAGACGATAATACATCACATATAGCACATAACTAATCACTGATATTTACCAACATAGGCTGATAAATTCGGTTCATACCAATCGATGACAAGGAGCTATAGACAAAAACAACTCCACAAGCAATGTCTCTCATAACTCAGCAGCCAGCCTGAACCTACTTCGGCTGTTCCCACTGAAACTAAAACTTCGTATCCACCACTTGAAATGCCAAAGCGTTATCCACTAGACCATGGGAGCACGATAGCCAGGCAATGTCGCAGAATTCGTACAGCAGCCCCTATGTCAACAGAGGTCGATCGATTGGATTTAGTATAGCAGCAAAGGATTACAAGTATCAACAAATAATAATAACTAATACCCGTTGTACAAGAGGTGGCTATCGTAACTCAATAGCCTAGTGGACAACGCTTTGGTGTTTAAAGCAATCAGTACCGGGTTCAGGTCTTGGTAGGAACAGCACACTAGGAAGCATCCAGCTGAAGAGCTCTAAATAAGACGAAACGCACGTCCTGGATTCCACAACTAGCCACCACTAATATCAAAATTGAAAGTACCGACAATATATTAGTAATGGTTGCTGATTTCTGTCCAATCAACGACGAAGATTTAGAAGCTATAAAGTCAAAACTGTCTCAGCTTGATATTGCTAGAATAAATACATATGCAGCAGTTAGTCAATAGCTAGTTTCGATTTACTGTTGAGGTATCGTATTAACTGGCACTCATAGTTCTTCCATGGCCTCGAAAAAGAATAACAAAAAGAAATGGGAAAACTCTCAGAGAACAATTACAGCGAAAGAAAAGTACCTCGACAAGTACTCACCAGGCAAAACTGGATAGGCGAATGATACAATCACTCCAAACGCTACAGGTTTATCATATCCCGGAACACGTAGTAATGTACGTCCAGAAAGTTCTTGTTTATCCACCTCAATATCTGATATAGCAGAACGCAAACTGCACGACCAGTTCACTAGTCGAAGACTTCGATAAATCAGGCCTTCATCGAATAGACGAACAAATGCTTCAGTTACTGCCTTACACATAGAAGGATCCATTGTGAATCTAGCTCTTGACCAATCACATGAACTTCCCAAAGCTCTAAGCTGTTCATAAATACGATCACCTTTTCTGCAATTGAAGATGATTTCGATTATTGAAATGAACAGAAATTAAAAAAGGGAGATGAAATTATTTGAGAACAGGTTGAATATGGTGACATGCGAAGTATATTATCAATATACAAATGAATTAAAAGTCTACCAAACAACGGCTATCCTAGATAGTCAAACTAATTATGAATATGATGTTCCCACTCTCGAATTATAAGTAGATCCGGATTGGGATGAGAAACCCTAACTGGGTAGCCAGGTCATTGGATCCAACCTATCACAGCCCACATTTTCATTTTATCTTACATGAACGCCTGTTCAAAAAAACACAAATTCAAACCGCAAACAATCACAAGATATCCTATTAAGAAGCCGAAATTCGAAGTTCGATCACGACAATCCTTTGGGACACAAACATAATCAATAAGGCCCTGACGAACACACAGTGAACAGTCTTCATGTTTACCCAAAATGCAACAGTTTCTAAGGATCTCATGTAAGGATATAAGATTTTAACCGGAAGTAGTTGAATTCGATACCCAATAGTGTCAACTAAAAACCAGAAGATACAGTTGCAAATAAACTTACAATCCAAAAAAACCCCCGAAAAATCCGATAAGGACGAATGGAGGAAAAACTAACATTAAAAAACAAATCAAAGGCAGTGTTTCGTTAATAGCTACATAGTAGTATGTAACACCTTCAAAATACTCATTAATACACCACCATACTGGTGTTAATAAAAGATTAATAATCTCGAAGTATAGACACCAGGAACTTCAAGTGAACGTAGAGAAGACAGAGGTGATGAAGATACCCAACCTATACCACAGCCACCACCAACAACAACCTCCAATCACGATGAACAGGAGAAACTTGAAGGAAGTAGGCTCTTTCACCTATCTAGGAAGCACTGTTTCATCTACAGGTGGCACAGACGACGACGTCAAAGTCAGGATCGGAAACAGAGCAAGACAGGCGTTCCCTCACCTGAAACCAGTGTGGAAATCTACTGCACTCAGCATCATCATCATCATCATTATCAACATAGGACCAGGCATTACTGCGTAACGGTCCGAGTTGCCACACCTCATATCAGCACTCAGCATGCGGAACAAGATGCGGATTTTCAACACTAGTACTAGTCAAGTCAGTGTTTATGTATGGCTCGGAGTCTTGGCACATTACGAAAGGCATTTCCAACAAACTACAGACATTCATCAACAATTGCCTCCTACTCTGGCTCGTTACTGAAGATCAGATGGCCAGAAATAATGAGCAACAAGGAACTCTGGCTGGCTGTCAACAAACCAACCAACAACCTATCGCTGAACAAATATGCACTGGAAGGAGGTGGAGATGGATTGGGCATGCACTAAGAAGGCGGTTTGGGAACATCACGTGCCAGACCAGGCACTCGAGTGGAACCCAGATGGGAAACGACGAGTTGGGCGTCCCAGCTGAGAATGACATGGAGGAGATCGTGCGAAGAAGGAATAAGAGCTCCTATGCTGTCGTGGAACCAGAGTGGAGTGGAGACGTGCTACTGAAGCCCTATGTTCCATTAGGAACCCAAGGGACAAATAATAATAATAATCACCAGGGGCAGGCTTTGGTCAGAAACTTTGATATATCAATTAGAAAGCATAAAAGCCCCGTAACTAATCAAGGAAATCACAACACTTCACACAGTACATAATAATCAAAGGATGAAATCAGAAGAATTGACAACAGGTTATCATATGATAGATAGTTTGTATAATAGCTGAAAACAAGATGAGCAAATAAATAATTATGTCCCTCCATCTATTATTGAGGATAAATACGTGAGAAAAATGGAAAAACAACACGTGGAAATGAATAAACAAGATAATGCAGCCTTCAGGTAGAGAAATACAGCTAGTGTCGGGCGTCAGTAGGCGTGCCTATGTTCCAGAACCTGGCGTAGTGTGAATATTTGGTCGACATACCCGCGGCCGGGTCTAAAGTCTGCTTGGTCTTCTCGGGCTTGCTGTTCCCGAGCTCCACTCAGACATCAAAGAATTATAGAACCTAGGATCCTAGACACTATGTTCGTCAGACTGATTCCTCTATGGTTATCACAAGACTTCTCGATTTTCTTGAAGACTGCAATAATCAGCGATTCAGACCTGTCAGAGGGGATCATATTTGACTCCCATATACTGGTTGACACTCCAGTTAACCTGACTAAGAGCACGCTACCACCATCCTTGTATACCTCAGGAGTTAGTCCGTCTAGTTCTGACACCCTTCCTCGTTTCGGGTTAACTACTGCTTTTCGACTCCTGCTAGTGTTGGGGGGCCTATCTCAGTGTTACATTCATGATCCGACTGGATAGCGGGCAACACAATGGTGGCTGGAGGCCAGTTAAACTGCTCCTTGAAGTCTTCTGCCCATCGTTCCAGTCGTCTCCTCTGAGAGTGAATCGCAGACCCATCCTTCTCCACTATAGGCTCACTAACTGTTGTTGACCTTTAACCCCCAGTCTCCGTAATAAGTCTAAATAACTGTCTACTGTTATCAATCGCCACTGCCTTTTCCATCTCTTTAGCCTTCGCTGTCCACCTCTCTTCGTGGTCATTGCGTAGACTTTTTCTCAATCTGCTTTTTAGTTGCGCTCGCTCTTCACTGTATCAGAGCCTGCAGGGATGCGTTCACGTGCATCCATTAGTTAGGAAGAAGCTGCTGGTATCCACTGGCTCCTTTTAGCCAATATATCTGAGTCGGCTATGGTCTTTAGCGCTGCTTTTACAGAAAACTGGAGATGGCACTAAGCTTTTTCTGGATGAGTGACAGTCTTTTGTTCCCATAACTGCCTAGCCAACTTTTCACTGAACACGGCTTTGGTGGTTTCGTTGTCCAGCAGTAATCATGGTGGTTTTGTTGCCAAATCTTTCTTATGTCCATTGAGACGCAGGCATAAACGCGCTCAGACCAACGCGTGGTCGCTGTCCAAACACGTACTCCAGAAGGAGTGGCACTCTCCCACCGATCCTCCCCAGTGATGAATAATAGCAATGTGGTCTATCTGTGTCCATCGCTGAGTTGAGCTCGGTGGACGCCAGGTCAGACAGTGTCTTTCTTTATGTCTGAAATTGCTGCTGGCTAAAAATAGGCAGTTATCTCAGCACAGTTGTAGTAAGCGATCACCGTTATCTGTACGTTCAGCTGGGATTCCGAAAGTGCCACCTAAGTGCCTTTCTGCCTCACTCAGTCTACCCACCTGTGCGTTGAAGTCATCTGCAACAACCACCAACTCCGAACGTTTGACTTTCGAGAGGAGGTTAGACAGTTTACAGTAGAACTCGTTCTTCACTTCATCCAAGCTGCAGTCAGTGGGTGCGTAAGCAGAGATTACAAAGAGACAACGGCGAGTCTCACTATTCTTTTTAGTTCTTACTGTGCCGTTCAGCCTCATAGCGCAGAGGCGACTATCAACTGGGATCAAGTCTAGTAGTGAGTTTTCTGCCCCAGTGCTTAGTACTATACCTACACCTGCAAGACCACCAGAGCTAGCTAACGAATCTCCAGAAACTCGAGGGAAAAATTTCGCGGGCTCACCAGATTGGTCGAGAGAGGTCAGGTGAATAACCGCACTTGGGTCCTGTATGCGTATCTCACAAACACAGCATACATCCATGGCCCGAGTTGCTAGAGTCTTTGCTAACGAAGCCTGTTGACCAATTTGACGGTTGGTGCGGATATTGAAGGCTCCAACAAGTAATTTGAAGCGGGGTTTAAGGAGACCGAGGATGCTGTTTTGTGGACTCAGATCGTTGTCAAAGGCTGCAGAGCTAGGAGAAATTGAAGATAATGTAGTATCCTTAGTTGAGAGACGTGAAGGAAGATTGGGAGGTAATGATGGGGAGGTGGATAGCAGTCTGAGGAAACTTGAGTGCTAATAGAGTTGTGCGGGCAGCTGACACTTCCCGGCTGGTCACATCGTGGAAGGCTATTTCTTCTTAACGTACCTGAAAGAGATTTGTATGACCGCAGAGCCCATCGGACATTTGCTTGAGACCTGTCACACCCAGCCTTTTGTGTACGGTTATTTTGTATTTTTGGGGTTGGATGGTTCAAAAGAAACGACAAATAAACCAACACCACCGGCCCGGCAGACCGTAGTGTGTGGTGGGGTGTGCTATTTTGGGGGCCAACCTTTTCTAACCCCTACCCCTTCCACTGAGAAGGCAGCATCAGCATGGCACTGTTGGTCATCTAAGGGAAACACCTTACTGCTGTCACACTCCATCCAGCTAGTAGCAGTAGGACTTCGCCCTCAGACTCCCATCATATTTTAGTGATTTGAACCACAACGGTAACTGCTTTTCGTCTAACCACTATCCAACAGACCTTTCTGGTATGGTAGGACCTCTAGGGAGCAAGTGTTCTACCAGCATTGCCCGTTGGGTCATTGTGGTATGCAAGTCCGACCACCACATTAAGGTAGCAGCTATCGGTCGAGACATATTTGAATATGGTGCAATGGGCCAGACAATTGGCGCTGAAATAGGTCATTTTGGATTTCGCCTTGATATTTGCTACCCAGCTGAAAAAACTTTTCTCAGATATTTCATAGATCTTCTTCTGCACCATTAAGGAGACTGTGAAGAGAAAAAGATAACCGCCTAAGTCGAATGATAACACTGGCATTGAACTAGTTCGCTGCCAGATTAAGTTTGAGATAAAACGTCTAAGCTTATGCATAACCAGAAGATTGCCATGTAGAAACTCTCTGAGTGTAATGAGACTTTTTGAAGATCTTACTGGTACAAGAAAACTTAGTAATGAAGCCTGCGAAAACGTCTGTACACTTAATCAGTCATTCATACGCAAGCCTGTCAACGTTCTCTTATATAGTTCTTCACATACAGCAGAAGACAGTTTTCTTAAATTCAACGAAACAGATGTATTCAAATGCATAAAATCATCGAAAGCCTCATATTAGCTTATTAAGACCAGATGGCATGTCAGGTATTCTATTCAGCAAATGTTCTGATATCCATGTTATCGACCTACAAACATTTTTAATAATTCCGTTGAGAAGAATGATATACCATAAAACAGTCCCGATACCCAAGTCCATATCTTTTGCAGCAACTTTTAAATTACGACCAATCCCAATAAACTCGCAAATTCCTAAGAATAATGGAAAAGTCGTTGCTTCACGTGACTGGACCCTCCTAGGCGCTTTTCGGTGGCCCAAATCAGTTTGCCTACAAACTTAGAGGGAGTGGTTTAGATGCTGCAATTGTTTTACATCACAATATTATTGTCAATCTGCACAAAGCTGTTAAGTATGTCAGATCTGCCGTCATAGATGATACTTCTGTATTCGATTCTTTCCCTAGACCCCTTTTATTGAGCAAGCTGACGTGAATTCATATTCAGTTGTAGATTTTAAACTGACTTCACTTTTATTTCGTACTAAAGTCAAAGTGAAGCTTCAAGATGTCAGATGAAATTGAAGAATGAAATGGTGAGACCGAATTGAATCATATTGACAAAAATATTAAGTTGTATAATAGGCGATGAGCCGTATTTAGTGTGTAGCGCTTCTGATTCTGTTCAATCACTTTATGGCAAGTTGATGGAAACAGCTTGGAATCGTAACCAAATCGTTGGAAGTTGGATACCTAGAATAGTGAGCTCCAATCTGACTTCATTACTGAATAATTATCTAAATTACGAAAAAACTTCATCTCAATTGACTTCTTACATAAATAACTTGAAGAACAAGTATTCCAAACAGTGGAATTTGAATGAGACTACTATGGTCATCAGGTCCAACCACTCCATCAAGAAAGTGTATACTGTCAGAAGCATTTAAAGAGGAAAGTAGACAATTTTAAGCACATACAAACTGCAGCTTCAGACATAGTTTATTCAGAAGTGAGGTAGTAGTAGTAGTAGCAGCAGCAGAAGTGGTTGCTTGACACATAATGCTGAGTTTATTACAGTTGAGTAGAAATAACGTGAAGTAATCACAGCATTTACTGACTAGTTTGTCCGTGCTATATAAGAGAGTGTCAGCTTTGCAGCTGGGGCTGGGAATTCATCAAAACGGATACAAATACGTCTACTTGTTTCATTTTATTCTAAATCTTACACATGCTGTCAACTTATAGCTACTTGTTGTCTGTTTATCTTATTATTTCTTGCCTTCTGTTAACTTCCTCTCGATGTGCTGTTGGTAAGTGTAACAAGTAGAATGGGTGCATATCAGCTAAAACAAAAGTACCAAGCCAATTTTTGTAGGATATTTCGGCAATTTCGAAGGTATTTACTTATCTTTATCCTCAAGGCATCTGTTACTTCCCCAAAGTGAGAAGTGAAAACGAATGCACATGTCACCAGGAGAAAAAAAGATGAGCTTTCTGTCCAAAAATCAACGAAAAAATGCACTTAGCAACCAAATATAAGTCTGTCTAATAGGCAATGAGCCACGTCTGTTGTTTGTACTGCTTATAATACTATCTGGTTGCCCAAGATTCGGTAGGTAGAGTAGGACTCAAACTCCCAGCTCATCGATCGAAAGTCAACTGCTTAGGCCAACTCCGCAGACTAGCCCCCAAGTAGTTAGATTGCAGGAGCACGCCACCATCTCCAGGCATAAAATAACAAAAGCAGAAAATACCAATAGTGAAAACACAAGAGGAACTTACTCTTCCTTCCATTCCCATACTTGTTTTACAAACTCATCACGTCCTACATCGTGTCGAGTTAGCTTTTTCTCCCTCCATAATTTTTTTTTCTACCACTACCTGTAGTTTAAAAAGTAAAATATTGTAGATACACTATCATCTTTTTAGATTTGTTTGTTTTTATGAAGTTAAAACTAAACATGAAAATATTTTCCAGCAAATCAGCGAAAGGACGACTGAAGACTGAGGAATACTTCAAAACTTTTCTCTTTACAGTTTACGATTGCCCAGTAGTGCCCAATTTACCTCCATGTGAGGTGGAGCTCATCATCACCTAACGCTAACCAGAAAATCCATCCTCATTTTTAATTTGGTTAATAACACAAGGGTAATACACCCTGAAATAAGTCACCGATACGTAGTGAATTGTTCAATTAAGTGGTTTCGGGAAATTAATCAACTTGATCTTATCTTTTGCCATACTGACATCAAGTAAAAAACGCTTGGTGAAAAAAGGGATTGCTGAACAGTTGCTGCTTTGTCGCAAATCCAAATCGAAATGCTCTCAGTAACCTTGTACACTTTCGCGCAGTATGCAATGAACCACATACCCATTATGTGGAGGGTCAGTGATATCACCTGGCAGCTCAATCATCAGTAGTTGGGGCAGGGTTCAAACACATGACTCATCGGTTAAAAACTAAGTGTATAAGCCTGTTTCAATTTAAGATTGCTGAACAATTTATACGTATAAATATCTGATTATCTCTTACCTCGTTATTCACTAAAAATTACTAATGTTGTATTAAGACTGTAAAATGACTGAACACTTTCTAACTTAACCAAATGTAAGTCTTTTACCTTATACTATGAGACAAACCAATTTTGTAAGGGTTGTAGTACGCGGCATGGGACTTACTCAGGTAAATCCATCATATCGCCATATGAATCGATATTAAAACAAGAGATGATTGTGAAGTTGTAGCTGTAAGCACAAATTACTGACTTAATTGGTTTAATAAAGGCAACGATATTCTTCCAAATATCTTGGTAATGTTGAACTTTGAAAGCATTAGAATTCAAAATTTAACAAATTATGTGCAACACACACTTATTACGGAAGTAAGGAATGGGTAATTCTCTGTGAATTCTTATTTTCGATAACAATCTGGTTCAGATCTAGTTAAGAAAACATGAAACCAGCTTAGTATGAGAGGATTATAGAGCTTGCGTATCCTAATAGAATAACTGAGAGAAAAAAATCTATTAACCACTTGCACATTTGTGCATTAGGCAATAAGCCATAATCCTTGTGGGAGCTAACGATACTACCTGACTGCCCATGCTCCGATAGTTGAAGCGGACTTCTAACCCATGAGCTATCGGTCGACAGTCAATTGCCTAAGCTAGTGAGCCATAGCTCAAACAGAATGTTCACAAATATGCATGTTATGTACCGACTGCCGATCTTTTTCACTGTCTCTATATGAGATGTTAACTTTTATCAAAAAAACACAAAGCCTTTAATCGATGTTTCCTTCGTCTGTAGTACTCTACCTCTAGACTGATAAGTGCTGACTATCAACCAACAGTATCCATAGGTTTGGGAATCCTGTAGAAAAGTGGTGCATCAAGTTGTCTCGCTTATCATCGAACATGAAAATCCTATTATTAATACAGTTGCTTGGTAAAACAGACCTTCAGTCGAGAACTCAAACAGGTTGCCTGTTCCATATAAGGTTCATCTCAACCTTTCTGTGCTGAGAGTGTAGAAAAAGCAGCTCTTCTGACAAACTGAACTACGTTCCACGCTTGATTCTCAAAGTACTTATACAATGAATTTACCGGCATGATAAAATTCCAAACGAATCGGATGGGAAGGAGAAGGGGTGGAAAAGAACTGTGTCCACTCGGAATATAAATGAAGTCGGTTCAATGAAAAGTGATACCACATTATTCACAGAAGTATTTGCAGCGATGTCAGTCCACCAAGCACTTACAGCTTCTTCAGTAGCAAAGTTGAAATTTTTATGAAAGCTAAGATCATTTCCTTGTCCAAAAGCATACCTTAGCTACTGCTGAGCAGAGAAAAAAACCTCGATGACAAGCTGTGTAGGAAAGCGAAGTATTTCCCCAGTGAGAAACTACACGTGTTAAATAGGTGAAATAAGATTACAACACTGCAAAGTTACAAAAGATAAATATTACTGATAGCTTCACTTCCTGAGAAAACTCACCTGTGTAGCAATACCAGCGTGATCACATCCAGGAATCCAAACTGTAGTTTTACCGTTCATTCTGTGCCAGCGTGTAATAGCATCTTCAACGCTGTTTGTCAAGGCATGACCTAAATGCAAAACTCCTGTGACATTTGGAGGAGGTATAACCATGATAAATTTGTCCGGAGAATTGGTCTAAAAAGGATGGAAAGGAAGTTAGAACCCTGGTCTAAAATATCCTCGACAAAGTGAACTTTGATAAGTTGTATCTTTCAATATCTTTAAAATGTAAAGTTCAGTGATAAGATCAGACAATATAGCCTTCACTTATAGCTTTATCTTAACTAAGGAGGACGCAGTATTGTTAAGAATTTCCGTAACTTAGCAGGAAGACGTGAACTCAGTGGTATTTACAAACAAGCAGAAGTGAAGAGGCTTACAAAAAGGTTGTCTTGCACCTAGCCCTCCAGTTATGAGTTCTAGCAATGAATTCGCACTTCTAGCTATCATCGGCTGGTAAAAATAATGTCGTAGATGTAACAGCTACGTCGGCAGCAGTGCATCAAGAGAGTCAAACTTACCACTTAAATTTCCAACTTGGATGTAATGGCGGTGGATGAACAAAATTTACGCGTCTACGAATTACTTATTCTTTAGTTAGTGTGTTGGTAGATGTTGGATCAAAGTAAAATGTGGCACAGAAGTGCATTCGTTCAAGTTACCACAATTTAGAGCTGAGTGCAAGTGCACAGAAAGTGATATTAAAGTATGCGAGTGCGTGACCGGAAATAAAACAAGCAGGTTAACGAAGTATTCAAGACCTCGACAATGACAAAGTAAACCCCTGAGCTACTGTGACCGATAACCACTCACTTTACCAAGGGTCTCTAACTACAGATTTTGATCATTGTGGAAACCCCAACCAGGCAGTTTACATGTTCCAACTCAGCTAAGAACAGCCAGAGACTTTACGGACTAATGCCAAGTCTTAGTCTGATCACTCTTAACCTTCTTCTAAATCAGTCCTACTTTGGTTAACAATACACGTCATTGTACGTGGTAACTCAGCAGGAGCAACGTATGTGCCGTTAGCTGACAGTTCATCGAATTTACGGCTGTGCTAGTCGGGTGGTGACAAGCTGCTATTATGACAAAGCTACCACCGAAAGTTTTAACACATCATAGTTGAAAGGCACAAATGAAAATTACCTGGAATTCTGGCTTGAAAAAGCCATTGCTTTCCCACCACTCATACCAAAGAGCCTCCACGTACTTTGGGGAGTAAGAATCAGGCATATCACCAGACACATCTTCATATCAATGTCACGTAAATGACTAATTTACCCTTTTTTCCAGATTTATCTACCACAGCAGTCAGTAAAACCTCTTTCTTTTTAGTTTTTTCCTTCTTTTCTGACTTCTACGAAATTTATTGAACAAAATAAAGACTACTTTCGATGAGTCTGAGGCCAGCTTCTCCTGCTTAGCTTCGAATTTCATCACTTTCTTCTCCTTCTTCGCCATTTTCTTTAACTGGCATTTTGAAGGGACTGTCTCGTTCATAACGTGAACAAGCTTTAAATCTTCGGTTGCAAACGGCCTTGAGTGACCTTCCAATATCCAATATCCAATATCCAATATTGATAGTGCGAGCGTAGAAAACTGGTAGTTTTTGGTCTCTCGCGTCTAGTTCTTAGGGCTTGGTTCCAGTTGTTCGGTTTACTCCTGCAGTGGACGAGGAAATCCCCTCTGCTTTATTGCTTTTAGCTTCGGTGAGGTGGATGTTTTGTGGGTTAGTAGGTTGTAATTTGTAGAGTGATTAGGGAGCTACCGGCTGCTGGGAAGTTTAGAGAACAACCATGACTCCTGTCTGTGTAGGTACCTGAAAGAGAATAGTAAGGTAGTGGTAAAGGAATGAAGAGAGAAATAAGGAAGGGAAAAAAATAATAGAAATAATAATGTAGGGAAGAGAAAAGGGAAGGAGAAGAAGAGGAGGGGTGAAGAGAGAAATGAGAACGAAAGAAAAGTATTTGGGAATTGCCCGAATGGTCGCGTGGGTTTGGTTCCTACAGAAGAATTAGTAGGTAATGTGGGTGTATTAAGGAGAGAGATAGTGAGTGGTAGTTAGGAGGGAGTTGGGGGTACTGAGGTTGGTGACTACCTGAGTACGTCCGTGGTAGTCCATGCGAGGTGACATAACTGTCTAATCGCCTCTTGTAAGAGTCGATTGAAGGAGCTATAACGATGTGTCGCGGTAAGGCATTCCATAAAGCACATACTCTTAGGGAGAAAAATTTGGACCTGAGTGTGGTGTTGGCTCTCTGGTGTGCTATCTTAATGGGGTTTCCTCGTGAAGATCATTCAGTTGCAGGCAAAATTGATTTGTTTGCATGGTCTGCCTGCTGGGCGATCTTGTATGCCATACCTTCAAAGTGACATCCAACATCCAACAACAATAATGTGAGTAAAAGAAGATGATAACCTCTTATCTCTGATGTCCAGCTTTCGTGATTTAGTTTTCTTTAGTCGGTTTTATTTTGCAATGGTAAGACAAAGTTTCCTCCACTTTTCTACTTTTAGCTCTGGTGAGATTCAAAATTTTACTAAAGGTGGCCTGCTTAAATCTTTGGCTACCACGGAATTTCCACCTATTATATTCCATCACATTCTTCCTTTTCAGTTTCTTTCGACCTTTTAAACGTCTTCTGAACGCACCATGTACTCTCACATGTTTTTAAAATGTTTTCGAACTTTCGTTTCCCAAGCAAAGAACAAACCAAGGGTGAAACGTCCCGCCGGTTGAAGATGGTTTATAAATGCCCAAAAGTATACCACATTATTGTTCCTGGGGTACCTGAAATGCGATTGAGAGTTTTTGTGCTGACCGATCAAACTGCCTCTATCAAAATTACACTCGTTTTTGTGTTCATTTCTAAATCAAGTACAGATTGTAATGTAGCACTTTCGTGCTATTAGCTCCAAAGAGGTGAGTGTTTTTGTGGGTTAGTAAGTGGATTTCGTAGAGTGGTTGCCGAGCTGCAGGTTGCTGGGAAGATTAGGGGCCTTTAGTAACTCCCGTTTGTGTAGGTGCCTGAATAGGAATGACAGTAAAGCGGGAACAGTTGTATGAGGATTGCTCGAAAAGCAAAAGTAGATAGTACGGGTCTGGTTGCCAGAGACGAGTTAGTATGTAGTGTAGGCGTGTCAACAAGACAGATGGTTGGTGGTGAGTATGTAGGAAATAGCAGAGTGGTAGTGAGATTAATTATTCCCCGAGCATGTCTATGATTAGCCGCGAGAAGTGATGTTACTGTCTAAATGTCTTTCAAATGAGTCTGCTGCGGGGGCTATACCAACAGCCCCCCATAAGGCAACCCATAAGCATATACTCTCAAGCAGAAAAGGTTTGGCCTGAGTCCGGTGTTGGTTCTCTGATGAGATTAGTGTCACTTATGGGTTGGCATTTGCGACTTTTGGGTCTGGTTTCCGAGGCGGCTGCGGAGTACTGGGACAATTCTTGGTCTTTCATGCTTCCTGGCTACAAGGATGTTTGAATGGTGAAAGCGGGATAGTGCTTGGTAGTACACGGTACGTTCTCGAAGGAGTAAAGCCGATAGCATGAGCGAGCGGGTGTATCCCGACCTGATACGTAAAAGCTCCCATCGACAATTAGTTGGGATTGATTTCTAAATAAATAGGTACGACATGAATTTTTCAATGCCATTTTCACGACCTTGGGAAATGAAGAGACCTAGGGAGACTGCCTATAGTTAGACACCATAAGTTCACTGTTACGTTTACGGTGTAACTAAAGCCATCCGCAGGCAGTCATAGGGTGACCTACCTTCAAGAAACGGACTACAGTATGGCCGGTTTGACATTCACAACATTGGCACACTCTTTGAGTACACTTAGATGAATGCCATCAACTGATGGTGTTACAGAGTCAAACGTCCACATTCTCAGGATGAGTCAATGTGGGTCAGCTGCCTCTTTCATGTTTACTTCCTGGTCGTGTAGAATGGTCTTGTGTCGTTGTCAAATCTAGTTTAATTAGTCGAAGCAGTTATTTGCCTTCAAGCTGCTATGCATCAGGAGCGTGTTGGGTAGATACTAGTTCTGCAAATATGGGAGACATTGGCTATCTTAGGCAGAGCAGATGCTTGCAAAGCTTCATTTATTTCCTATGGGTTCCCAAAATGATTAATTTAGACATTTATTTCTCTGCCTTGTATTCCTGTCTGCAAGAGGTTATCAGAACCGACATTATACCTTGCTGTGCTAACTTTACAGCCCAGATACTTTGAGCTAATTGAGACGATAAAATTGTTATCTAGTGATCCGTCCACTTTCAGATTCCGTAAAAGTAGCTCAAAATTTTATGAGAGCCGTCACAACTACTGAATACAGACATCTCTGAATTCATTTGTTCTCAACATTCTGTATGCAATATACTCCCATAGAGTGTATGACTGGCCATCGCCAGGACACTTCTCATACTGAGAGATCATACACTCATTAAATTTCACCACCGCCATTTAATGATATCGCTTTTATCAAATATTTGTGACCAGCAATACCTAAGCAATTGTTTACTGCGGAAGGCTTTGTATGGAAGATGGTTTGTTTCTTTCTTTTACAGTTTCAATGCGGAAGTAACATTTAGATATTGCCTGCGAAAATGGCATGTGTCTGTATAATTGTATTTTATCGCTATTATTATTAACTAGTCACCACAACCCGTGAGTTCGCTAAAATCACGTATTCTCTTAACTGAACTTCTAACCGACTGAATATCTTTCCAGAAGGCCTAAAAGCATTTAGGTCTGTGGGAACGTGTGTACCAACTTAGATTTTTCACACTGCCTTACTTGACAATCATCCTTTTAACCTTTTGTCACCCCTTTCTATCTTGAGGAACCAAAATGTCCCTGAAGGTGAAGTCTGCAGGTAATTTTTCAACAGTCTGTACTAGTATTAGCCACTGATATCAAAATCGACCATAAATGTAACCCGTATTAGATGACTGATGGAGGGAGAGGTAGTTGGTGTCACTGAATTGGCGACACAGTATCCGCTGACTAATCGGAATCCATACAACAGTATGGAAAAAGGCTATACGGAGTAATGGATATGCCTGTAGGTTCCTTGTGGTCGGTGAGGGAATAAGCTGGATCAAGAAATCTGCTTTAGCCACGATTTTAATAAAGCTGAATTTACTTGCGCTGCAGCCACATCGCCTGCACCCCGCAGGTTTAAAATTTATTCTATGCAGGGTATTATATTGGTTAAGAACTTGGATGTGAGCAGACATTTGGTGTAACCTTCAAAGAATTTAAATTCCCTTATATTTGGGAATATATGAAAAGCGACTTAGTCGTACTTTCCCAGGAAATTTGGGGTTCAAGTGACAGATTATGATACGTATACCAGCACAGATTATCGGGATTCACGAGCATAAATTAAAGCCGAACGTCATGGGAATTTCAGTATCAGTTGAGAAAGCTAAGAATATTCTGCAACCGAGTGACTGAAGCTATAGGTTATAAATCTGCTCCAAAATGAATACTGATAGCGCGGACAGATATCACCTCTGTCTGCTATGATGTTGTAGGCTCTATCCTATCCAACAGGCCCCAACCAAACACACGACAAAGAGCAGATAAATCAAAGGACAAGAGCTACGAGTTTCGAAAAGATGTAATCAATTAGAATGTTCGCTATCAAGCGCATATAAACAAAATTAGTTTCAAAGCTAATATGATGTCGGTAGGCAATATATTTTCAAAAAAATGTGAATAACGTTAACTGGGATATGAAACAAACTCTTTGAAACCAAAGGAGGACACCAAATCACCCTGAACTCACCAAGTCCACCAACGGGAACTGAGCAGGGCAACTAAAGTCAGCAGAATAAATTCGAAATATACCTCTCTCGATAATTCACACGAAAATGTAACTGAAGGGACGCACCAAGTATCCAGGTTAGTAGGTAAATTTACTGGCATTGGTGTCTCCTTCACTTTGTCAAACACTGAATGTGGCCAGTCAACAACAGTGGGGGCTGCAATTTGTCCAACTATTAATATGTGTTCACTGCTAAGACTTGTTCACTCAAGAAAGATTTGCTTGTTCAGACTCAGGCCTATATGATCTGACCCAAATACATGAACTGGAAACGCACCAAAGATGTGGCATATACTGAATAACTAGCATCAGTAGGATATCAAAAGTACTCCACCAAACACATTTAGCTAAATTCTCTCCTTCAGCTTGTTTTGATCTCGTGCACTTCTGGGACGATTTCAAGCTACCGTTTGTCAGTCTGGCGGAAAACAAAGAAAAAGTTTTACGTTGGTAGGAAATGGATCTGTAACTTGCATAAATATGGAGGATATTCCTATTATTTATGAATCGCTGGTTTTGTATTGGTTTGATTAACTACCGTCACGAAATTTACGCCCAATTTCCCATTCATTCACCAGTTTAGACAATACGCCAATGTACCGAAAGCTTACCTAATTCACACCATTGCCCTGAATGTTGTTAACATTGGAATGATT